GTAGTGTTTAAATTAAGTGTGGTATTTTTTGTTAGATTGAAGATTACAGAATGCGCTAACGCTTTGAAAATTGTAAGTTGTAAAAATTATGTTTCTTACCATGTTTTGCGATAAAATAAAATCAATTATTATACATAATAATATCTTTCTGTTATCTTTTAATAGATATATTTTAAGTGTCTTAAATTAGGTACTCAATCTGATTTTATTTCATCATCATCATAATTTCAGCCATAGGACGTTCACTGCTGAACATAGGCCTCCCTCAATGATTTCCATAATGACTGGTTGGTAGCGGCCTGCATCCAGCGCCTTCCTGCTTACGATGTCGTCGGTCCACCTTGTGGGTGGACATCCCACGCTGCGATTTCCGATACGCGGCCTCTACTTCAGAACCTTGCTGCCCCATCGGCCGTCAGTTCTGCGTACTATGTACCCTGCCCATTGCCACTTCAGCTTGCTAATCCGTTGGGCCATGTCAGCGACTTTAGTTCGTTTTTCAGAGTTACAAAAGCTTTATTGAAGCTCACACACTCTCAAATATGTAGTTCAACAATTTTATGCAGCATTTGCTTTATTTTAACCCGAGTTAAAAAAGTTCAGTATATTTTTTGTATGAAAGACAAGTTATACTCTCATTCAGTTTTAATGGATAATTAATTAGGCAAAAGATGCGAAAATCACCCATTCATTTACATAAAAGAAGTGTTAAAAGGGTACTTTGTTTTTATTTCAGTTTAATATTAATAAGAGATGGTTGAAATGTGGAATATGAAATAATGCTACACCACACTAAGTATGCGTGGCGACGTAATAAAATATGTTTAGTTCGGAATCTTATATGTATTTTATCTTTCTTTTATTTTTCTTTATTTCATAATTCTTCTTCTCAGCACTGATCCTATTATTGTTCCGAAGCAGTGGTAGGGTTAATACTGGGACGTGTAAAAGTGCTTTTTAAAAAACCTACTTGTATAAACAAAGTTTTATAAAAATAATATTTATTTTTACTGCCTGGTGGAGGGACCTAGTTAAGGACGGAACTTCGGAAGCTAGATGTCCCGATTTCTCACAAACTGAATCGAAAGATGCTTTTCGATAATCATGTAGTATCATTCATCGTTTTTAAAGTTATTCCCCAAAAAATCAACCACGATTTGAAACCTTACTTAATTACTTTTTGTCCCGTAATACAATGAACCTAGCAACACACTGCTTACGCATTTATTTATTTATTAAACTTACGGCATTAGTTACCACCTTTCTAAATAATGCGTTTATTGCCACTATGGTAATTAGTATGCTGTTCGAAACCACGGTGTTTGAGTGACCAATTAGAAAAGGATGGCTAAACCACAGTGGGCCTCCACGCGTCCACGCATCGCGTGCGCACCTCAGATCATTTAATCTCCAATGCAGGAGCATGACCCTCTCTTTTTGATTTTGATTTTTTGATTTTGATTTTGGTCATGAGCTCCCCTGGCTTACCTGGAAGTCTTTAATAGACTTCCGTAGTAAGGACAATCTGGTCAGGTCTTGGATTGCTTGAACATGGAGTGCAGGTGCGGTTTTATTCCCCAGTTGATGAAGCATCTGATGTCGTGCCCTGAGTGCCCGAGCAACTGCACGCAGGAGGATTTGATGAGTGCTGCTGACAACGCCACTCTCGTGGGAGTTTCGGGCTGACACTGTGTAGGTTTGTTTTGTTGTCGACACGAAAAGAAGAAGAATCTAGAGAAGATGAAAACTTTGTTTTTTACTTGAACCTCAAGAACCACTTAAAAATAATGTTTGTGTTGGATAGCCCATTTATTGAGGAAGGCTTTTGTTTATTATCACCCTACAATTAATAGGGACAGAACTGTCAAGAAAAATGTTGAAAAAACGGGAAATATTACTCAAACTATTTTTACGCGTACAAAGTTGCGAGCACAGCTAGTATGCAAATAATACTGCCTAATGATTGCGTCTGATTAGAGTACAGTCTAAACTACACTCAACATCAAATAAACCGCACCTTCCGCGACGCGAACTTTAAAGATTTTCTTCTGACACAATCATGGTACCCCAACAATATTGGTGTTATTTGAAAGCCCAATAAATATCCTTAAAGAAAAATACATTTCATTTCTAAATAAATGATTAACATATACCATAAATGTGACTTGAAAATAGACCTCACTTTGGGCTCACCTCTGGGATCAATTAGACCAATTTTTATGGTTATAAAACCAAATAAAGATCTCACGTGTCCTCTTTAACAGATGGATAGCGATTAATCCCAACTTAACAGTTATATAGTCATAAAAAATGGCTATAGCGTAACTACCTATTTTTTGCAGAAGTGACTCTGGATCCTTGTAAAGACACATTTTTGGGGTAAAAACCTTTCCTTTAATGAAATGAAGTTTAGAACTAGGCTTTCAAATGGTACCAATGTTGGTGGGAAGTGGGGATGCATACGTTTGATAAGTGCTTGTCGCGGGAGGTGCGATTTATTTGATGCGGAGTGTATAAATGATTCATCATCATCAAGTCATTTAGTATCCACTGCAGTAGCACGACCCTCTCTAATTTACCAGAGGCAAATGGAGGATTTGGCCTACACTCCCCACGCTGGCCAGGGCCTGGGGAGGCCTGATGATAACTCGCGGCTTCGTATCAAATGGCCCCGGAGGACACCGTCGGGTTTTAGTGGGTAGGCCCGCCCTCCCGCGGCGGGGAGAGTCCCACATAACCCACTGACTGACTGTCCCCTTCAGCCAGTGGGCATGCAAAGCATTTCCCGACGCAAAAAAAAGGCCTGATGATCGCATGTTTGTCCCTTGGTTGCTTTTCTTTCTGGACTCTACTCATTAACGCATGGTTTTAGTAAAGTTTTAATAAACCGTTAAATCGACTTCTATTAATTTTCAAATTCTACATCTACACCCTAAAATTTTCGAATTTAACCAGGGAATTTACGGTTCGGTTCCATCGTTATGGATATCCGTAACCGTAACCGAAACTGTCGGATATCCAAAATATCCGTAACCGTAACCGAAACCGATTCAAAAGTTTCGGATAGTTTCGAATATAGGCAGAGTTTAAAAAATCTTAATATTTTTTAATAATTTGCTACTTGTCTGGCATTCCCTGGCACTATCTGATATCCCCGCCTGTTTTAGCTTTATCATAGATGCCGTCATAGTACTCGCGCAGCATCTTGCTATTTGAATTTTACATTTTTAAAATTCTAATATTCGTAACCGAAATTATCCGAAACTTTCGGATAATCCGAAATTATTTCATATCCGTCTCCATAACCGAAACTTCATATTCATAACATCCCTGGATTTATCACCACACCACATCAAGCAAAACACTGTGAAATTTTACGTGCTACATTCCCCCAAAAATGTGCATTGTGCAACACGAACAGGAACACCCACATAATTTATTCGATCAACATTTTTTTCTCACATACGACTATACTTACACCTGAACTAAATAATCAAACCAGTTAGGCATTCTTAATTACTAATTATCGATTAATGACACTTGATAAAACTTGAAATCGGTGTACATCCTTAAGCTCTCTAAACTGGTAGCTGATTAATTGATTCTGAGTGCTTTATAGTTTCACATTAGTAGACAATGATTTTACATCGACATTGCACACAAACGATGCTTGCTTAAGTGAAGCAACAAATCGAACGCACAGCGTTGAATAGAGCTCTGTGATTGGTTCGTGTGTCACCCTGTGCGTCCACGCGCACTGTGAGACCTCATAGTAATGTTTGTAAATACGGGCGTAAATCTGTAAGTCGATATAAAAGTACAGCCTTAACTATAACAAGTAACATGAGTGATGTATGTTAAATTTCGCTATCGTTTCGATCGAAGTACAAAAAAACAGAAGCGAATTGATTTCAGAATAAAGCGACAATAGTCCAGTGGTGTCGGTGTTGGACTGACTGACTAGAGATCCGAGGAACGCGGGTTCGAACCCCTGCTGCTGTATTATTGTAGTTAATCCACTCGTAACACAACTTGTATTTTCCTCACATTGGCTATGGACAGAAAATTAAGATCTAATCGTCATTATCATCATTATTTCAGCCATAGGACGTCCACTGCTGAACATAGGCCTCCCCCAATGATTTCCACAATGGCCGATTGGTGGCGGCCTGCATCCAGCGCCTTCCTGCTACCTTTATGAGGTCGTCGGTCTACCTTGTGGGTGGACGTCCTACGCTGCGCTTTCCGGTACGTAGCCTCCACTCCAGAACACCTTGCACTCCACTCCAATCCAGATCTAATCGTATGTTCTTTTATAGCTTTTTGTTAAATAAAAAAATCGCAGGACCGGCCTTTGTGGAAGTCCTTGGGGGAGGCCTTTGTCCAGCTGTGGACGTCTTTCGGCTGAAACGAACGAATAAAAAAGCTAGCATTTGCCAAGGAATAGATATGTATTAAGATGACGCAATAATACGTATTTATAATGTAGGATATGATGTAGGCTAGGAGCTAAGGTTACTAAGTAATAAAATGTTATAGAGTCATCTCATTAATGAACTTTATTCATAATCTATCAAAATCTGTTCAGTAATCCTATGCTTGAAGGAATAACAAACAACCATTCATTCTGAAACTTTTCGTGTCATTTATTATAATATGATTACAAGTTGCTCTCTTTTTGGCTTGGCAAATAACCCTCTTTTTGGTACAGTCGGGTAAAAACTAAAGTTATAAATGCGTCTAACGCCCGTATTCACAAACGATGCTTGCTTAAGTGAAGCAGCAAATCGAACGCACAGCGTTGAATAGAGCTCTGTGATTGGTTCGTGTGTCACCCTGTGCGTCCACGCGCACTGTAAGACCTTATAGTAATGTTTGTGAATACGGGCGTAAGGCTGCGTTTCCACCTAAGCTGTGCGAGGAAAATGTGTCGTACGAGGATGTGTAGCGGAGCTGTCAAAATTCGAATCAGGCTGCGTTTCCACCAGTGATGTGCGAGAATGCGTAGCGAAGAATGTGTTTGTAAAGAACCAATAGAATCGCTTCATTTACTTCACCTCGGTAAACGGTAATTTAACTCTTGGGAATAGAAACGCGAATCTGCGTCTTATGCCCATTTTCACCATCAATCCCTAATTTTTAAGTGACCCCTATGAAAATATAATGCCTGTAAAATGTTACCATAGGAGTCACTTAAAAATTAGGGATTAATGGTGAAAACGGGCATTAGACTACTTACATCCTCTGTTCACATTAACGCGGCCATTTAAATAAAACACTGATAATTTAATGCGTTCACAAATATTAACATAATAATTATTTTATAGCGGAGCATTAGTTTTTTATGCGGTTTCGTTTACCGCCTAATGCTTGCTTTTGAATGTTTTTTTTTAGAATTAAAGAGATTAAATCTGTGATTGTAGCTTTCAGATGTTTATCTGTCGTTTAACGCTATCTAGGAAATAAAAGTTCTTGGCTAACCTCTATGTATCTAACCCTTGACTTTATAATGCTCGTTAAGTCTCAGATCAAGCGCCGCAAGTGGAACTGGATTGGCCACACTCTCCGAAGGGACCCCGATCACATCCCTAAGCAGGCTCTGGATTGGAATCCCCAAGGAAAACGCAAACGTGGTCGACCCAGGCAAACTTGGCGGCGCACTGTAGCGGACGAGGCGAAGAAGATCGGCAAGACCTGGAGCGAGATCAAGCGAGAAGCTCAAGACCGAACGAGATGGAGGACTGTTGTGGACGCCCTCTGCCCCATCTTGGGGACATAGGACCATAAGTCAAGTAAGTCAAGTCTCAGATAGAGATATTATTAACCTACCCTATGAAAAGCACGGAAACCATATTCTTCCGAAACTGAAAACGCAAAGTTACACATAGAGTACTAACGCTCGTATTCACATTACTATGAGGTCTCACAGTGCGCGTGGACGTACAGGGTGACACACGAACCAATCACAGAGAATCCAACGCTGTGCGTACGATTTTCAGCTTCACTTGAGCAAGTAATTTTAATAATGACTGTGTTCTATCTGAGCATCGAACCCAGAACTTCTGAGTTAAGGGAACTTAACCACTGGACCACGGAAACGTTAAATATTTAAACAAACATACAATTTATACAATTACTATAATATATTATCACTCTTTATAATATTAATTTTACTATTGCCTATAAATGTACAGTTTTCAACAAAGCTCATCACAGAAAGACCTTTCTCTAATTGCATATTGAACTTTAATCTTATGAAATAAAGCTGAAAATCGAAGGAATTTGAGAATTTCCGGCAGGTTGAGTTGCGGTCGCTTATACACTTCACTTTTTAATGCGTTTCGTTTTTCTGCTTTTACTTTTGATTTCATTCAAGTAATTTATTTGAAAAGTAAAATGAAGAAGCGAAATTAATATTTTAAACGAATTTTAATGAGATAATCTATTTTAATTAACGCATAATTTATGAATGCGGTTTACTTGTTAGATGTAATGATGATCAATGATATAAGTTTGAATCCGGTAAATTAATGAATAATATTTTTATTTAGACTTATAATAAATAGTGAATCCGGTAAATTAATGAATAATATTTTTATTTAGACTTATAATAAATAGCGACCAATAATCAAATATTGCAATCATAGAAAGAAGAAATGAAGAAGAAGAAAAAGAAATTATCTTTTCTTTCTTCTTTAATATTGCAATCATAGAAATAAAAAATATTTTCTTCATTGATTGATCTTTTAGGATGAATCTATAAATTCCTTCGCTACACCACATAATTGTGAAAAAGAGTTATTCTAATAAAATCCGGCGGCATTTTCTAATTAATTCTTTATGTAATCACCACCCATTACATAAAAAAGCACATAAAAAATTAAAATATCCAAAACTTGATTACCCCTCTCCCTGAGGTAAAATCAAAATTTTGCATTTAATGTGCCAATTTAAAAAAGACCTGGGTTACCCTTTGATACTTTGACAAAATGTTTGAAAATGATGTTCTAATGCCAAACTTTAGAGCTCAACTTATACTGGATTTTTACGTCGCTAGTTAATCACATGTACCGAGGGCGCCACTATCTACGCGAGAATACAAAAGTAGTATGAAAATGTTTAGTTCCAAATCTCGCCACGTTCACCACAAAATTGCCCGCGAAATGTACTTTCGTTGCTGGCACTCAACAAATTTAAACAGTCACATTTCCGAAACGAAACACTTCGAACGCATTTGAATTTTTGAAAAATGAATTCGCGCGCGGTAATTTTGACTTTTTTGTTTTTAATTTCTGCTGTCTTTGGCACAGATAAAATTGAAAGTAGAAAAGAGGATGGTTTTTTTACCGCGTTAGAAGACAAATTGGAGTCAAAATTGGGGGAATACGCGAACGTACTTTCGGGGTGGCTGGGGAAATTCAACGATGAACATTTGGGGAACAGTGAGTTGGGGAGATACTTGCACTACAACGAGATCAAGCCCAAAATCGAGGAGACTGGCATGCGTAAGTTTTTTTTATATTTTATTTTTAAGCTAAGTTTTTAAGTAGGTACTATAGTCTTAGATATAAATAATTTGAATTGAAATCCAAATCAATACAATCAGAATTATCATAATATTATCAGATCGGGGATTGAATCCGCGACCACAGTCCGATTTACGAACCACTAGGCCTAATGTCAAAAATAATAAATAACATTTTACAAAACGACATCTAGTCGAGTAGATAACGGATACCTATACGAGTACTTCGTACTTGAACAGTTTTTTAATTTTCGGTAATCGAACCCGCGACCTCTGGCGTAATCTGAGACGCAAGCCACTAGGCACACTACGGTCTTTATATTTTACGACGCAGAATCACTGTCACTACGGTTTCAAGTACGATTTCCGATCGGGTCAATTTAGGAAACTACATATTTAGGAACCAAAGGTGTGGTAATTATTTAAATATAAAAGCCAAAAAGTACACACGCAAACTAATATTAATCTCTTTCAAGTTTCACTACAACAACGAAATTTTTCCCCCCACTAAGAATCAAAGCCAGGACCTACCCAGAGACCGTACTTCGGTAGTCTTACCAATAGACCACAGAGGCGGTTATAACAACTCTATCGTTAAAAAAAACTATGATTATGTTTTTTATAAAAAAAAATGTATTCAAAGACCTATCAATTGACTTTACATAAAAGAAAAAAAATGATTTGTTTTAAATTACATCTCCATAGAAAAGCTTTTCCCATGTTTTGCATACAAAAACCCAAAATGGCCGCTTGTTCTCAAATTGATTCTACAATAGCCCCAAATAGTTAACGATATTATAAAAAGATAGTGAAAATCAATAACTTCAAATATAAAGCGAAATAAATAATAAAACACTCGTGTGGTAGGTCCGTACAAAAAATGCAAATGGCCGACTTTTTTGTCCGCTAGAAAACAGCGGCGAACAAAAAAAGTGAACATTTTCAATGTGGTTATAATTTTACCACTAGTAGGCTGTTTGGGGTTCAGTAGGTTGTATGGAACTAATGACTTTTTTTAGATTTACGGGGATATCTAGTAATTTTTCGGGTAAAAAATTCAGTATGCTATGAATCCAAGGTGAGATGCAAGCCAAGAGCTTTTTCGTTGTGGATAAAAAAAAAAATTTTCCATGAGGTAAAAGACAATTTATTTATCTACATAGGTACAACATTAGCTCATGAGGTTTTAAATAAAATTTATCAGAATTGGTTCAGCTTTTTAAGAAGCGTGAAACGAGTAGACATACAAATAGTTACATAAAGTAATAATACTATTTTGAAATCTATAACTAACTCTACCATGGAAAAAATAATCTACCTAGAAGCTATATCCAAAATCGAAAGGTTTTGTTATACAAAATATTAAAGACTACATACAGAACCCTCTACTCTCGCTCGCACTTGACACTTTTATTTTCAATAAGTGTATTCGATATTCAAGATTAACCACCTGCTACATTAAGCTTAGTTGCACCATCTAACTTTAACCGTAACTATAACGATAACTGGCGTTTTTTGTATGGAGTTTGACAGATTTTTGACGTTTGTCAAAGTTAAATTAGAATGGTGCAACCCAGCCTAAGAGCTTTGATTAAGCTTTATCTTAACACTTTCTTTGTTAAAAACCGACATTGATATAATATCGGATGACATGACTGTCAATTGGACAAGTAGTTGACACTAATAACTCCAAGGCACAGCTTCGTATTTTTTACTAGCTTTCCGCCCGCGGCTTCGCCCGCGTGGAATTTTGTCTGTCACAGAAAAGCTTTATCGCGCGCGTCCCTGTTTCAAAAACTGGGATAAAAACTATCATATGTCCTTTCCCGGGACTCAAACTGTGTCCCTGCCAAATTTCATCAAAATCGGTTCAGTGGTTTAGGCGTGAAAGAGAGACAGACAGACATAGTTACTTTTGCATTTATAATATTCTAGATATTCAGAGAGAGCCTGAATGTCGAATATTCAATGAGAATCAAGTTAGTTTTCGATTTTTAGTAAGAAAAGTGTAGCTTTGAAATCAATAAATTGTCAATAGGTACTCAATACTCAATGAGGGCTATCGTTTTAGCGCTCACCAGTTAGCGCCACTGTAGAGTAAGGTCCTGTCACTTGCTGGTAGCGAAGACAGTGGCACCAACTGGTGAGCGCTAAAGTGGTAGGAGGACTATCGCATTTGCACTCATCAAGATGACGCCACTGTAGAGTAAGGTCCTGTCAATCGCCAGGGGTGCCAACTGTTAAGTATAAAAACGATAGCCCTCATTGTTTATTGCTTCCATAATGCATTGAGTTGGCGATCTGATGATCCCTATTCGTTCGATCGTTTCATCCGAATGATATCTACTGCTGGACAAAGGCCTCCCCCAAGGATTTAAAACGGATAAAACTCTTAATCAGCTGAAATAGAAGGCAAGCCCGAGTTATTTTTTATGAATTACACGTGCGCTTTGGCATGCCATTGCTATGCCACGAGCTATTGAACATTATGCTTCACAAAACTGGCCTAACAATAGAAGGCTTTTGTCAAGCACGTGGAGAACATGCGGTGTCAAAGTTGTAGAATAGTGGATTCTACAATTTTGTGCTACATGACTTAGGGCAAAAAAATAATGAGACATGTATACTGTTGGCTCCTTAAGAGCATTTGACGATTTGTAAGTACTAATTTAATTAGGTAGTCTATACGAATAAAGATAACTATGATTTTGATTTTGAAGCTTAACGCATCCCTTTATAAGGTAGAGGCAGTTACGGGACTATTCTCGTTCCCACCGCTGCAACTCCTGTGTAGCCAGAATCTACAACTTGACCGCCAATAAAAACCCAACCAGTGAAGGTCAAGTTCGTCCCGGGGGAATGTTAACTGTCATTGGACCCGCAACGATACCCTTTTGTGCTGTCAAGTTTACACAAATTTAACACATTTTAAACGATAAAACCCAGTTAACTAAATAACTACCGTGACTACCCCTCGTAACTCTAAACCACAGACCAGCCAAAGTGAAACAAATGGGCAATGCAATGTCATACAAAACCGATATTTTTGACAGCTATCACTTGCACCGTGAAGGGAACGACTTTCGCCGGCTAATGGGTAAAGACAAGTCAAATGATCTACATACTTTGTACGAGTATAATCATCGCCATACAGGGCACCTTGATGGACAAATTGATTCTGCCATCACTTTCAAGAAGAAATCAACATCATTAACTTACTAAGCTCTAAGCGCCTCTAGAACTTTTATCGAAGCAATTCAGGCCATTTTCGACTGCCTGTAACTTCGTTGTGGATAAAACTAGAAGGCTGAATTTTCATTAGCTATGCAGGCATTGTAAAGACACGGTATATTTAAAATTTCATTCAATTTGAACCAGTAGTTTAAGAATTATAACGGGTCAAAGTTACTTAATTTTGTCACTCACTGACTCACCGATCATCAAAACTCTAAGGCACTTCTAGCAGACCTAGAAGCTTTAAATTTGGAATATAAGTAGTGTTTGGTGTATGAATCAAGGAAAAACTAAAATATTTGGGGGCACGGTGGTGCAACCGCCAAGTCGAGTAAAATTTTTCAATTTCGGTCCAGTTTTCTAGATACATAACTGCTGTCTACAAAATACAAAAAGAAATGAGATCCCATCAAAAACAATACTTGTCAAAAAAACCAAGTCTCGCAACTCAGTTGTTCTACGGTAAAAAGTTGTGAGATCCATGTAATACCAAGTCCAGGCCAGGAAATCTTTAACGTTTTACATAAATATATTGACTTGGCCATCGCACTAAATAATTTAATTTACACGTGTTTTCATGCGATGGCCAAGTCAATATATTTATGTAAAACGTTAAAGATTTCCTGGCCTGGACTTGGTATTACATGGATCTCACAACTTTTTACCGTAGAACAACTGAGTTGCGAGACTTGGTTTTTTTGACAAGTATTGTTTTTGATGGGATTAACTTTTACGCTCTCTGAAAGAAAACGGAAGGAGATGAAAAGCGTGAAAAATAGTGCCTGAAAACTAAAAACTTTGGAAGGCAACTTCTGTATTATCTACCACTGTAGATAAATGTGGCCGAATAACAGGCTAGATGACAAAATTTCAATTATTTGTCCGTCAGACAGATAATTAGAAAATATTAGACTCACATTTTTTATTTTCTTTCATAATTAAATAATAACAGTGCTACATCGAGTTGAAATGGCGCGTTACGTCACGCTTTTTTACTCAAAAGTGACGTCACGCGACATTTCAACTCAATATAATACTGTAATTATTCAATTATGAAAAAATTTCAAAAATATGTGTCCAAAATTCGATTTCATTACCCAGTCATCATCCCTATTTGTTGTTTTAATTACTCGTAACATTCGTCTAAAAGGTTAACAGAAATACCCTAAACTCAATGAATTAAAATCACGTACCTACACTATAACATAAGATCTTTTCAAGATTTTGATTGACACTTAGTAAAAGTTGTTCAACAACACTTGCAAACATTATAAACTAGTTTTCACTATCTAAAAAGGAGTTTAACATAAACAAATGTAGATCGTAATCAAAAAAGGTTTAATTAAGACTTCCTTAATTGCATTCTTTTCACGTCATCTTAGAATGAGAAATCAGGTTTATTACACTATTTGTAACTTAAGATAAAAAAGTAAACTCATAAAACTCATTTATTTTTACAAGTAGGCTTTTAAAAAGCACTTTTACACGTCCCAGTATTCACCCTACCACTGCTTCGGGACAATAAAGGGGCCAGTGCGGAGAAGAAGCAGCGCAAGAAACACAGTCACTATTGTCAGCCTCTTTTTCAATAATTAATAAAAGTAATAGAGATTTTAGAGTACCACTAAGTTAGTAAATAAATGTAACTTTACAATACCCGGCGCACAAATGAATTAATTCTCACGCCAAACACAATCCCTTTTTAATTTTAATTTTAAATTATCAGCCATAACTTGTTCAAAAGATAATGAATTACCAGAGCAACCTTAGAAGTAGGGCCACCTACATTCACCATTCAATTTTACAGTAACGAAATAAGACAACCATATGCGTGTACGCATAAAAAAATAAACAAAAAAACCCGCCAAATTGAAAGTGAAATTACGACTACCATATTGGATTCTGTTTCTAATGGGCCTACCTTTTTATGCCTTAATAATTATTTTAACAACAACATCTTGTTACATTCGAATAGCTTTTTAATTGACAAATAAAGTAATCATAAGTTACTTGTTAATGTTAATTGAGATGTCAACGGTCAAATAATATTAATTTGTTTGTTAGAGCATTATTGATTTATAAAAATAATAAAACTTTAATATGTTGGTACTTATACAGGGTGTCCCAAAAAGTAGTGTCAAGCTGAAGCCCAGAAGTAGAGCATCACTAGGGCTATCCAAATCACTCCCATTTACCTATAGTTACGAGAGTGACGAGGGTGACACCCTGTATAACTACGAGAAATATACAAATATACTATACATCTACACTAATGAATAACATTAGAAATTTAAAGGGGGTAAAAGTGGGGTGAGAACTTAGAAGTTTATATGAAAGTCCTATGTCTTTGAAGTAAGAGACTTAAAATTTAAAATGTACGCTCTATAGATATGTATCTTAAGAAATCAATCCCCCTAAGGCGAATATCACACTGCGCCGCGCTCCGCCGCGGTACGCGAGACGACAGATTTAATCATTGTATGCAAGTACCTCAGTTTGTATAGAAAACACGCGCGGCACAACACACTGACAACGCGTCTGCGCGCGGGTTTTTTTATATGAAACTAGCTGACCCGGCGAACTTCGTACCGCCTTAGCGTAGAGATTATCTTTATATTTTTTTTCGTAAAAACCTTGTACAGAGTATTAGAAAACTACAAAAAAAAAATCTGCCGAATCGGTCAAGCCGTTTTCATGTTATGTCGTGACAACGGAAAACGGGTTTCATTTTTATATATATAGATCACGGGTAGCGCATTTTCTTACATAAATTTTCAATTCCTATCATTGGAGGTCCGAAAATATTTCTCATACAATTTGATACCATAATGATCATTCTTCATAAAAAATTTAAAACCTACATATTTAAAAACATAATCATTGATATTCATAATATCACTAATCATACACTTAGTTTTTACTAATATTTGTTTTCATATATTTTTCTATACTAATGATCGAAACTTATAATCATTCGAATAAATAACTATAACATTCATAAATGTGATGTATCCTAATATTTGTTTTCATAAATTTATTACTCATAAGTGTATTTATCCATATTATTGAAAATCATGATGTCTATATTCGTATTAAATCGTATTTTAACATTAAATTAATTTGAAATGGTCCAAAACAGGCAATATTTTGTGCCACAAAACTAACGTGACAGAAACGAATCGCTGCAAAACCGACTCCACGTAGTCTTGTCTGCCCTACCCCTAGAGTGTAATTTAAAAGCCGGAGGCGCGGAGGGAGGGCAGCCCTCGCCCGCTGTAACGAGGCTCAGGCGCCCGGGTGAGCTGGAGCGGCTGAGGCTGGTCGCCGAGGCGCCGAAGGCGCCGATGGCGATCCAAAAAGCCGAAGCTGCGGAAGCAAGCGTGGGTGCCTGAGCCTCGTTACGCAAGGGCGGAAGGGCTGCACATCCCGCAGCGCCGGAGACGAGGAGATACCAATGCATGCTGCATGCTTGCTTTCATGCTGCATGCTCTGCATGCTTATCTACTCTATTAAATTATATATGATTTTTTTAAAGATACGAGTATGTCTGTTATAAAGTAAATTATTCTGAACAACAACATTATGAGTTGAAGTATGTTCTTAGTAACAACATTATTAATTAAAACAATATGATCAATGAATGTTATGAAGAAAAAAGATCTGAAAATAAAAATTATGTATTTTAAATGGTTCTTGGTAGTAACAGTATTGATAAAAAAATTATGATTACTAACTGTTATGAGCTCCGATGGTAGTAATAAAAATGTATGAATAAAAAAAGTATGAAAAATAAAATTATGAAGAGAGATTATTATGAACACAAATCGGTAGTAAGACAAAGAATAGGATTTAGAATTTTATGTGAGCCAATATAGAACCGAAATCACGCGGACCGCGGCGGAGCGCGGCGCAGTGTGATAATCGCCTAAGGGGGTAAAAGGGGAGTTGGAAATTTGCATGAAAGTCCTTTGTTATTGAAGAGAGTTGATTTAAAATGTACGCTCTCTAGACTAGATATTTTATGATGTATCTTAAGAAATCAACGGGGGTAAATCGGGATCCACGCGTACGAAGTCGCGGGCGGCTTCTAGTCACAAATAAATTGACTGGGCGGTTCAAAGTTCACCAGGCCAGCTAGTATTAAACACTTCCGTGCTTTTAAGCGATTTTGTGAAAAATATTACTGGCAGGTAGTTGCTAATTGCTCATAAGATAGGCCCCCTTAATTGATATTTATTGTCCGTGGTGCAAATCTTTTCTTAAAGGTTTTAAACCTTTGTTTGTCACCTGTCATCCGCTATGCAATGGAGGGAAGTCGAACCTTAATTTCGAACTCCTCCTGTTCTTCTGATTAATTTCGTTGCGGGTGCAATGACAGTTTAACTTTCCCCCGGGACAAACTTGACCTTCATTGGTTGGGTTTTTATGGCGGTCAAGCTGTAGATCCTGGCTACACAGGAGTTGCAGGTGGGAACGAGAGGTGGGAATAGTCCCGTAGTATTAAACATGTATATTAACTTACAGAGGGACGAGGCATGAAGAAGCTGTCCATGGCACTCTTACCAGTCATCTTCCACGTGGGAGCCACCTCAACTTGGATGCTCATTACCACCCTCCTAGCAGCCAAGTCCGTCGCCATTGGCTTGGCGTTGCTCGTCTTCAAGATCGCGGTCAGCTCAGCAAAGGTGAGAGCTAAAGTGACGAGTGGCGACATCTGTTGGTACTTATAGACACTATGCTGCAGCGGAGACTACGCCCGTATTCAAAAAGATTACTATGAGGTCTCACAGTGCGCGTGGACGCACAGGGTGACACACGAACAATCACAGAGCTCTATACAACGTTGTAAGTTTGATTGCTGCTTCACTTAAGCAAGCATCGTTTGTGAATACGGGCGTACATGAGCTGATCATCCAGTCATCCGCTTTGCAATGGAGGGAAGTCGAACCTTAACATCGAACTCCTGTTCTTCTGATTAATTTCGTTTCGGGTCCAATGACAGTTTAACTTTCCCCCGGGACAAACTTGACCTTCACTGGTTGGGTTGTCGGCGGTCAAGCTGTAGATCCTGGCTCCACAGGAGTTGCAGCGGTGGGAACGAGAGGTGGGAATAGTCAGGCCTGTAGGCCAAATCCTTTTCTTCTAGTAGATTTAGAGACGATGATTCTCCTGCATTGGAATGAGCTGATAATAATGATTTTGTGTAGGTACTAATACTAAAGCGATAAGTGGTGACATCTACTGATCGCAGCCAAACATTTTTAAGGAAACCAATTAAGCTGCTGTAGCTTGACTTCTCTACTCGACGTTGAAGAGGTTTTGCTCAACTAGCCAATTAACTTTTCATGGTCAAATCTGTAGGTGGCTGTAGGCACAACTAGTACATCATTCTAAATGATCCATCCATATAATTACAGATGTAACTGCTCACTCACGAATTACAGCTTTAGCGGTAGTCGGAATAGTAGACGACAACTCATCAACCAGTATTATCTATAATATATTTTATATTACAGCTAAGTACATATTAATAAGAAGTGTTTACTTGATAGGAGGCTAGTTTTTTTTATGCAAAAAAGGCAGGTATTTGTCCGCAATCGCACTGCAGTCTAGGATGGTACCTACTTCCTAAAAAAAACTTTTAGTCAGTCTATTATAATTATTATCAAAAAATATTGGACACGTATTTTTTTATCGAAGTTAAGATACGTTAAAGTTCCGCGTGATGTCACTAAGTGCTACACTTTTGAGCACTCCTTGAAGTCACGGGCTTTTTCTTTTGAACTATGACATGCCTAACTCTTTAAATTCTCAGTTTAAAACAGTGCCTAGTTTTAGTATTCTTGCAATTGTGAAATTTACATAAAATTCGAAAACACACGATACAATGTTATGAAACTTATTCATATTTAATACATAAATTCAAAATTAAAAAGTGTCTTTATAAGAACCGACAGGTAAAAGTGAAATTAGAATGCTTGCAATTAACTAATTGTAAAAAAAACTAAACTAACTCTGTCTGCGGCTGGACATAATCTGGTGTAATTACATATGAAGAATATTTCTCGCACTAACGATCATTTATTATAAAAACTAGACCGGCTACTTCAAAACTGAAAGTGGTTGGTAGTTAATCTGACAGCTTTTTTGAATATCTTTTTAGAGTTCCGTAAAGTCATATGACTGGTTTTATTTTCGCATGTAGGCTTTTAAAAGCACTTTTACCCGTCCCAGTATTAACCCTACCACTGCTTCGGGACAATAAATGGGCCAGTGATGAGAAGCAGCGCAAGAAACTCAGTCAGTCAGTCTATTGTCAGCCTCTTTTTCAAGTTTACAGTATTTAAAGTAGCAACGTTAATAATAAATTGGTCAGATTAGGGATTTTTTATATAAAAAGCTTCTAAATTGAAATATTTTCTTGAAAAAAATAAATAACTATACTAACTAATAAAAAATAGACGAATTCTTTACTGATTTATCATCTACCCGTTTACATAATTTTCTTCCAAGATTTTTTGTTGATAAATTAATTTAATTTTACTTTGGAGACAATTATATTACTTTTTATTAGGTAAGTATCCTAAAAAGCTGCATTTTTAAAAGTCCATTTACATTATCAGTTATAGTTTTTAGTAATAAATACAAAAAGATTTTAAAATAAACTTTTTAGGCATGCTTTTTAGAGACACTAAATAACCTTAATAGCTTTAGGAACCAGTCATTTAGCCTATTCATGCCGTTAGAAAAGCTTATAAATTATTATAACATGTTATTAAATATTTAATAATTCAATCAATAAAGATCTAGATTTCTACAAACGTGCGTCTCTACATTCTTAATAGGCAGTGAACATTATCATAAAACAATCTTTGCCAACATTATGTTTATTTATTATTGATTTCATTAAAAATAAATCTTATTTTTTAGGCTTGACCTTGTTCAAGAAATATAAATTAAAATTGACCAATTAATGTATATGTATAGAGTAGACGTTTATTTATTTTTCTGTGTCCGTCCACTGTATGCTTGTATTTTTTTCTATGTATCGTGGGTTCAATTCCGCCTTGCAGTTCGATTTTATCAAGTGGTATAATTAAAAATGTATGTTTGGTTTGGTTGGTTGAGGTTGGGCTTGTTCTAAGTCCGCCTAAGTCTGTCGCCATAACACAATGTTAACAGCATTATTGTGTTCCGGCTGTTAGAGGTAAGATAGCCAGTTCCTCCGTGGTTGAGGATTCCGGGTGAAGCTCGCTTCCACCTTTGGCCTGATCATCACTTACCATCAGGTGAGATACAGGCTAAGAGCTTCCTCGTTGTGGATAAAAAAATGTTTTTTGTATACAGAACTCTCACTGAAAACCACTGCCCACTGGTCCAGTCTCGTTACCTCTCACATTACTATTGACATATCCTCTTATTTTGAAGTGCATAAAAAAATTTTTACTTTCTCTTACTGATGTTTGAAAAATCAAGCGCTTGATGGCTCTAGCGATCTGTGTAATAGTTTCTTCCTGTACTTACTAAAGCGAAATAAAAAGTTTAAACGTAAAGACGGCAAGCGAGTTGACCCGCCATATCATAGGATTTTTTATTTGACCAGTAGAATAGTGACTGATTTCTTGCGCCGCTTCTTCTCAGCACTGGCCCATTTATTGTCCTGAAGCAGTGGTAGGGTTAATACTGAGACGTGTAAAAGTGCTTTTTAAAAACCTATTTGCATAAATAAATGAGTTTTTTGTTTTTTGAAAAAGAGTGACAAAGGTGACTGAGTTTCTTCCGCCACTTCTTCTCAGCACCAGCCCATATGTTGTCCCGAAGTGGTGGTAGGGTAAGCTATATGGGACGTGTATAACTTATACAGTATAAGCGCCCTGGAAAAGGCCTAAGTACCTGAATAAAAACTTTGACTTTGACTTAGATATCATAAAAGGCGACTAAGTATCAAATATGCGAACATCAGGCCTCCCCAGCCCGTCTGGCCAGCGTGGGGAGTGTTGGACAAATCCTCCATTTGACTCCAAATTAGAGAGGGTCGTGCTCCTGCAGTGGAGACTAAATGACCTGATGATTATGACTCTAAACAAGAATCTACCACGGAATCATTTATTTATGTTTTTTTGTTTCAGGTCGCATCATTCTTCACTCTACTGAAAGCCAAGCATCACCACGAGTGGACTCCACATTATGAGCATCACGGTACGTAGCCCAGAACTGGGCATCATGGCCTATTAAGACCACCCATGAAACAAACAAGAGTTGCACTACCTTTGATAATCGTGAGTAGGTATAACCTTAACTGGTGTTTTTTGTATGGGGTTTGACAGACTTTTGACGTTTGTTAAAGTTAAAGAATTAATATTGTGTAACCCAGCCTTAGACTAAAGACTTTTTGTTACGATAGCTTGTTCGGACTGTTAATCAGTATGAACAAGTATGAAAGTTCGCACATTGTACTTATTTAGTATCGGCCGATTCCACAGAAAAATTAGAAGCTGACTAGCTATATCGGCCGATAATTGTCTGCGGGGAGTCTTAAAAATAGACTAAGAGCTAGTGAACGCCATACCTACGTTATTTTATAAAAGGGTTCGTTCTTCATTTCTTGTCCCGAAGCAGTCAGGTAGGGTTAATACTGGGACGTGAAAAAGCATACTTGCAAAAATAAAAAACTTTCATCTTTTATAAAATAACGTAGGTCTGGCGTTCACTAGCTATCTCTTCTTTAACACATTTTTATTCTAAACTTGTGATTACATTTAGAAGGCTTTGTGTCTATGTGGTTTGCCCTTTCCCTTTCATAAACAACTGCAATTGTTGTGGTCAGAAAACCAAAAAGTATTTAGCAATCAACCAAAAAAACGAAAGTGCGTTTCTAATAGGGTTTTTAAAAAGTTAGTTCTTGTCGTTTGTCTGATTTCGCGCCCTTTTGTGTGTTAATGTGACTTTTTGTTTCTTAATTTCCGCCATTTCCCTTATAGGATTGTTTGTCTATAATTAGGTAATTTTAAGATTGGCTTAACGAATTTGAATTAAACAAGTCACGTGCTTGATGATTTTAATGAATTTATATTGCTATGCTATGACACCAAATAATATTACACTAACTTCAGCGAGATTTGAACTGAATACCACAACACAACTGGTGTACCTGTACATTGTACAATTTTATCAAGCTTCATGTATTTTAGTTTGCTTTTCCTGGTTTTACTGTAGGTAGTTGATTAGTAGTAGATAGTTATTTTATTAGATACTATTTTTTTATGTAATGGTGTGGTTTTTATTCGTTTAGAGCGCTTTAATATTTGTTTTTTTATACTCGTTGTATAGTCGAAATTCTCTGAAAAATTTTCTCATTACTCTTTCTTTTTTGCACTCCAAAAGGTACAGGTTTCCTCAAACGCATGTTTTTTAAGTAGCTAGACTTTTTAACAAAAAAAAAATGCTAACAAAATCTTGTTTTAATGTAAATAGATAAATTATAACGATCTGTTTCTGTTTACAGGTCATAAAAGAAGCCTAAGTGATTTAGGTAAGGAATTAGATTTTATTAAATATTATTATGAGATTTTGTTAGTAAACATTAGAAGTATAGTAGTTTAGAATTGAGTAGTTTTACTCTAAAGCCCGGTCTGTGAGCGCGTAGAATTTTGTCCAATGACCCCAAGCTACCCATCCTTATCGCTCACAGACCAGACATAGAAATGTACACTCAGCGGCACGGAATTTGGCCCAAGCCTAAACACCCAGATATGAGGCCAAATAGGTGTTGTATACCTAAGTTTCATGTGACATGTTAACAAAACATTTGTTTTTGTTAATTTAAGAGGCTAGATTAATAAAAAAAATGCGTCTGTTTAACTTTTTTGACTCTAGAAACGCATTTCGTTGTTGGAGCGTAAAGAGTACGGGTAAGTTTAAATTCGATATTAAATGTTGTAAGGGTTTGGCGTTTGATTTTTTGTTTTTAAATTAATCTTAGGGTTATTCTCGTTTCCATAATTTGAGAATAATGCCCATTACTCCAGCTCAAGTTGCTCAAATAGTGTTGCTTAGAAGTCAAGGGCGTATGCAGCGGGAGATGGCTGAAACTTTCAATTTATGGCGTACAAACTTAAGATACACTTTAAAAAGGCATGACCAGACTGCCTTTTACACAAGAAGATCAAGAAGTCAGGAATTAAGGTGTAAATCGGCGCGCGATGACCCGATTATCGTGCTTGCAATATCAAGAAATCGGGTTCTCACTACGTTTGAGATACGCCAGCGTTTACAAACAGCAAGCCCAGTGAATATCAGTGAGCACACAATAAGAAGAAGGATGGAGGATCATAACCTGCATACTCGAAGACCAGCTCGAGGACCAGAAATTCTCCGATACTTTCGCGAAGTGTGACTTACGTTTTCTAGAGAACATGCAAATTGGACGCACGCAAGGCTAATGGAGTAAAGTTCTATGGATCGATGATTGCAGAGTCACCTTAAGAGCTCCAGACGGCCGTGGACGTGTATAGAGAAGGTGCAGAGAAGAGTTACTACGCAAACAGACAGTTTTCATAAAGAGTTTACTCCATTAGTCTAACGTCCAATTTGCATGTTCTCTAGAAAACGTAAGTCGCACTTCGCGAAGGTATCGGAGAAGTTCTGGTCCTCGAGCTGGTCTTCGAGTATGCAGGTTATGATTCTCCATTCTTCTTCTTATTGTGTGCTCACTGATATTCACTGGGCTTGCTGTTTGTAAACGCTGGCGTATCTCAAACGTAGTGAGAACCCGATTTCTTGATATTGCAAGCACGATAATCGGGTCATCGCGCGCTGATTTACACCTTAATTCCTGACTTCTTGATCTTCTTGTGTTAAAGGCGGTCTGGTCATGCCTTTTTAACGTGTATCTTAAGTTTGTACGCCATAAATTGAAAGTTTCAGCCATCTCCCGCTGCATACGCCCTTGACTTCTAAGCAACACTATTTAAGCAACTTGAGTTGGAGTAATGGGCATTATTCTCAAATTATGGAAACGAGAATAACCCTAAGATTAATTTAAAAACAAAAAACCAAACGCCAAACCCTTACAACATTTAATATCGAATTTAAACTTACCCGTACTCTTTACGCTCCAACAACGAAATGCGTTTTTAGAGTCAAAAAAGTTAAACAGACGCATTTTTTTTTATTAATCTAGCCTCTTAAATTGACAAAAACAAATGTTTTTTTAACATGTCACACAAAACTTAGGTATACAACACCAATTTGGTCTCAAATCTGGTTGTTTAGGCTTGGGCCAAATTCCGTGCCGCTGAGTGTAGTTAAGAACGTAGAAATGTAGTTGTATTTTTATTTGTCCGCCTGATACCTGATCCCTGGGGATCAAACAGGGGTTTATAGGGGATAACATCTTTAGTCGCTTATTTTTTTTACCACCTGACACCCGATCCCCGGGGATCCAAGGGGATCACACCTGGTATCAGAGGGGATCAAAGGGGATACAAAGGGATCAGCTCAAAACCAGGGAAACAACCATGATCCCTTTTTTAAAAATACCTCTTTTTCCAGAACACATCCCCACCTACGTGGAACACCCAACATCCCATGACGACTGGAGCTCATACACGCCTCAATGGACACCATCGGAGCCCCATAAGACCATAGCTTCATACAAACACGCCGCCGATCCATATACTGAGTACGCAGAGAGCAAAAAGGTCGAAAAGGTCTATGGAAAGAATTAATTGTCTATGAAATCTGGGAAACGAAAGCTAAAACTTACTGACTGTACACTGGATTGGCTGCTTTCATAATATTTTTGTGCCTATTTGAGTTCCGCCATTTTGGCATTGTAGGCTATAGATGACCCACACTGAACTGTCCCACCAAACTCAATGACAGGGGGGCGCTACCATCGTTCAACTAAGTATATTATGGTTTCCAACATGGCAAAAATCGCAACCAGCGATCCGGTATGGACGGTGTGGCGCCCCATTGTCAATGTCATGCATAGGACAGTTCAGTATTTTGGAACTATACACTGTAGGCAGATAAGATTGTCCATGAATCTAAAATTACTGTTTTTTTTTTCGCTTAGGCCCAGAACAGACGGTGAAACGCAACTGCAACTTTCTGATGATTCTTATGAATGAAACTGAAACTTAAAGATTCAAACTGATCGTGTCATGTGTGGTCTCTCCACGGACGCTATGGCAGAAACTTAGATGCAACTCAAAAGTAACTAGCAGTTGCAGTTTCGGTGCAATTGCGTTTCACCGTCTGTTTTGGGCCTTACTTACTCCTATGGTTACTCCATCCATACAATGTACCTACGTCAAAATTAGTTCTAAGGACAATCGTAGTGGCGCTTCAAATTGGCACACAAAGCTGTCATTTGTATGAGACAGCCTATCCAATGTTTATTAGAGATCAGTGTTAAGAGCNTACTTAGAAATAGATACAAACAGATCAAGTTAACTGCGCACCTCGCGGAATGTGACGTCACGACTACCAGGTGCGCAGTAACTCAATCGGGTTGTAAAATGTAATTTTGGTATAATTTCCATAATGGATTGGATTTGGAACTTAAAACCTTTACCCCCTTATAATAAAAGTCACACTCTAGTTGAACTCTGGCTTAAATTGTATGGAATTTAGTATGGAAATGACATTTTAATCCAGAGTTCATAGTAGGTGTAACTTTTTATTAATAAGGGGGTTAAGGTTTCAAAATCAATTCAGAAACTTCATATTTTTGGATAGATACCTCGACCAGTTATAAAAGTTGCAAAAACAAGAGATCTCATATCATTAATGCAGTCTTTTGTTAACCAGGTTTTAGTTAAGTAATTTATTTTATTTAGTTGTAAGAAAATAATTTATTTTATTGTAAGCACATATTTTCCCATAAGTACAAACATAAGTGTGTTTTACATACTTTAAGTCATTAATTTATTTGTTATAGTCTGGTCTGCGAGCACGTAGAATTTTGTCCAATGCGCTCGCACACTCACTGCGGGCGCCCGTCGCACAGTCGCGACAGCAATATAATTAAGCGCAAGCGATAAGGATGGGTAGCTTGGGGTCATTGGACAAAATTCTACGTGCTCACAGACCGGGCTTTAGGCGGTTCCCACCAAGGCGGAGCGGAGAAATGTTATTTAGAAAATTCTCCGCTACGCTCCGCTTTGGTGGAAACCGGGCCTTTATGGTTTTGTTTCATGGCATTTATTAGATATAAGATGTATTTATTTAACTTTGTAATTTTTGCCGAAACGTGGTTGATGATGATTTTTAACTGACTTTAAAAAAGGAGGAGGTTCATCTCATATAGTTTTTTTCTCGACGTCATAGTACAAGTATTTTTGTTTTCTTTTTTGTTATAAAATTTTTTTTTAATTTTTGGCAAAAATGAAAGTAAACGGTGTTTATTTTCTGTGTTACATATTGAATATACCACCGGTTGTTTTCCTAATTTCTATGCCATAATGGCTTGTTATTTTGACTATAGATCATTTCATCCACGAAGACGCGCCCCACCAATGTTTGGTCCCGGTCGCGCGGGGTGCGGGGAGTGTGGTCCGAGCAATCCGTAAGGCATTACTGTAGTGTGCGTGTGCACTCATGGAGCATTTAGCGTGTACCGATAACACTCAAACATTCGCGGAAGAATGGTGGGCGCGTCTTCGTGGATGAAACGATCTATGTACTTAACATATGATTCAATATTGGGCACCAAATAAAAATCTGTTTTGTAAAAAATGCATTTAATACATTTAAAAAGTGTGTAATTTATTACAATTTTAATAAAACAATTTTAAAACATTGGCGGAGTTTCATTTATATCTTAAAAAATGTATACAAAATACTTTATTGATTGTCCTTACATATAAAATTTTAGTTTCTTTTTGAGTATATTTTATAATTATAGAGTATATTTTATAATAATGACAACTAACGGCGCGGTATCTGTTAAGATTCACAACTCCTAAAATACAAAAAAAATTAAAGCCCGCATCTTGTGACGTCATTGCAGTATCACAAAAAAATGGTAACTTAAAAAAATATGAGAATAATAAAAAAAATCCACTAAATACAGCAGTGTACAGTAGCCGACATTACATTTCAAAAATAATTTTAGTAAAATATTCTTTCTCTGTCTGAAATACTGCTTTTTTTATTTATACAACGTGTCCCAAAATTCAACGATAAGCCGGCGCCACACGGCGGGCATAGTCATGGGTACTTTAGGAAAAATAAGAAAAAAAATCTATCTCAATTATTTTTTAAGTTACACAATAAACAATGAAATTCGTCGAAAATTTACACCCCTTATGATATTTTACATTACCACGGCCACAATTTTTCAAATATTTCTGTTTTTTTGTTTGTATCGGCAACCTAAGTAGTGCTGCTGTCCACCCCAATCCTTAAAACCCCCAGAATCCTTGCAATTTTTACACAAAAGTTAATCAAAATATGATATTTCTTTAAAATTTAGAACGATTTTTACTTTCACTAAACTTTGACTCGTCGTTTTGTAAAAAAAAAGTATGAACACTACTGCGGCAAGTTTTTTATAAAGTTGACGAAACTATCCAAGATTCCAAAATGGTATAATACTCTAAGAAAACTAGTCGCAAAAAAGATATGCGTACCATTTTTACAAGCACTTCGCTTGTTAGTTAGTATGGGATAAATCTTGCAACTGAATTTGAAACCAGTTCTCCTCAACCAATTGAGCTGAAATTTGGTATACTTATGTAAGTACAATGACAATGCAATATTATGGTATCATTGAGCTGGATGAAGTCTGGAGGTGGCCATAGGAACTTCTAAACGAAACGGCGGAATTGCATCTAGTTTAGGTTCGTTGGATTTGTCTTTTCGTGCATTTTAGTGCTAGATGATGTTCAGAGTGCTGATGATGAAGTCAAGAGGTGGCCAGGAGCTAGCCATAGGAACTCCTAAACGAAACAGCGGAAGCTTATCGAATTTGGGTTCGTTGGATTTGTCTTCCCGGGCACTTGGGCCATGAGATTGAGAAACAACTAAAAAGTTTAAAATAAAGTTATAATCGCGCATGGAATTTATTCCTCTTTTTTTCTGTTTGCGCTACAAGCTTTCGAAATTATTTGAATCTTGCATACAATTATTTTTATCGTTAAATTCTTTCTTAAAATTTCGCATTAATGCTTGTTTTAAAAAGAATTTTTTTTTTATTATAACTTTATTTTACACTTTTTAGTTGTTTCTCAATCTTATGGTCCAAGTGCTCGGGAAGTCAAATCCAACGAACCCAAATTCGATAGCTTCCGCCATTTCGTTAAGGAGTTCCTTTGGCCAGCTCCTGGCCACCTCTTGACTCATTATCAGGATCCTGGATATCATCTAGCACTAAAGTGCTCGAAAAGACAAATCCAATGAACCCAAACTAGATGCGATTCCGCCGTTTCGTTTAGAAGTTCCTATGGTCACCTCCAGACTCCATCCAGCTCAATGGTACCATAATAATGCATCGTCATCGTACTTACATAATGTAACCAAATTTCAGCTCAATCGGTTGAGGAGAACTGGTCTTAAATTCAGTTGCAAGATTTGTCCCACACTAACTAACAAGCGAAGTGCTTGTAAAAATGGTACGCATATCTTTTTTACGACTAGTTTTCGTAGAGTATTATACCATTTTGGAATCTTGGATAGTTGCGTCAACTTTATAAAAAACTTGCCGCAGTAGTGTTCATACTTTTTTTTTACAAAACGACGAGTCAAAGTGGAGTGAAAGTAAAAATTGTTCAAAATTTTAAGGAAATATCATATTTTGATTAACTTTTGTGTAAAAACTGCAAGGATTCTGGGGGTTTTAAGAATTGGAGTGGACAGCAGCACTCTTTAAGTTGCCGATACAAACAAAAAAACAGAAATATTTAAAAAATTGTGGTCGTGGTAATGTAAAATATCATAAGGGGTGTCAATTTTAGAAGAATTTCATAATTTATTGTGTAACTTAAAAAATAATTAAGATAGATTTTTTTTCTTATTTTTCCTAAAGTAGTCATGACTATGTCCATCCTGCGGCGCCGGCTTATCCTTGAATTTTGGGATACGTTGTATACAAATGTATAATAAAAACTTTTAAAAAGGGACATCACAGATACATTACAAAATCCTTTACAAAATATTTTAATAATAATACAATAAAAAATCTTAATAAATATAAGTACAATATAGGCAGCACCGTTACATTCTTATCGTTATATTTTTTGTCTAAAAATTTGTGTATAAAAAATATAAATGTCTCAAAAATATAAAAAAATGGAATTATTATCATTTAAGGTTTAGGAACTACATATTAATATAAATTCCAATAATCATAATAAAATAAAAAAATATCAAAATTGGACGGAATATGGCAGTCTAAAAGAAAGTACCTACTAACCTTCAATGAAAAAATAAAGGTATTAAAAAGATAGCACTTTAAAAAAAACCTACACATACCATGTTTTAGGTCTTTGTATGACGCTGTCAAAGTGACATGTGACATTTTTACTTCGTTCGATCGATTCTACGTCTTGGAGTCAATTTGCTAAATTCATTAATACTTTCACAACTAAAAAGATTCAAATTCATAGACAATTTGTATGTCTGGCTAGCTTATGGACCAGACTCTGACCTCTAACGTGACCCTGTATGGTCATATTGGACTTTCAATCGAATTCTAATATTCCAAAATATTTTGTCTATACGGACAGTGATAACATTAATTCTATGACAAATATGTCGAAATGAACTGCACCTTACACATCACAAACTTGTCTAAAGTCAATTCGAGAAAATTCTAAAGATTCGTCAGTCTTACGTTATTAAAAAAAACAACTATATTGTCAAACTATAACGAACGGTCCTATCAGTGAAATTGACAGGGGGGCGCCACCGTCAATACCGGATCGCTAGTTCCGATTTTTGCCACGTTGGAAACTATACAGGGAAATATTGAATTTTCGGATAGATCCAGTTTACTCTGTAACCTATTATTGGTACCGATTGAAAGAGCTTGTGAAGCACTTTCAGAATCAGTAATCAGTTTTTCGATATCTTGTATAGTTTAGAAATAATCGAGTGAGATCACTTAACGTTTCCACCCTGTACAATAACTTAAAAATGTAATAACACCCACTTTGTGAAACCCTATTTAATGCAAATAAATCATATTTGATTTGATTTGTATAGTTTAACGATGGTGGCGCCTCCCTCTCATTGAGTTTGGTAGGACAGTTCAGTATAGTTCATCTATAACTCCAAATCCGTCAGTTTCAAGCAAACGCCCAAAAATATGCACAACGTAATCAAAATCGAGTCGCTTACCAAACCCAGCACACTATTTCTCTGGAACCATCCTTTTCTAGCTTTCTTTTTGGTCAGCCTCCTTTTGTCTATGTTCAATTTCTTCTGCCAGCTGTCAAAATTTGGCGGGAGCGGTTGACATTGGCTGTCAAACCACTTTCTCGGCGCACCGCTTGACGTTTTGGCTTGAATGCAAATGTCAAACTTCCCGCCTTTTTCTAGAGATACTTTCATGGAGTTGTCTATGGGAATAGTCGTTGAGCGGAGGTTGTAAGTCAAGTCTTTGCTGTAGAGAAGGCTGTTTTTGTCGTCGCGTATGTAGAGGTATACATCTGCTATGTCTTCGATGCTGGGTACGTACCAGTTTGCGTATATCGCTTCTTGGGCACTGCAAAGAAATTCATCGGTTAAAACAAAGACATATGAACATACTGGATATACTGAACTGGAATATTGGATATTAAATCATTAAGAGAAGACGTATCAAACACTCCAAAAAAAAATGTCAAGAGTGGAAATATATGGAATAGAAAAAAAAATACAGATAGATGACCCTTTAACAGTCATAAGATAATCAAATTTTTATTGTTTTTGGACATTAATGCCCGTTTTCTAAGTGCCCCTACGAAAACAAAATTCCTGTTAAATGTTACCATAGGGGCCACTTAAAAATTAGGGATTGATGGTGAAAATGGACATAAGACAAACGAATAAGGTTCAAAATATGGTGGGAACTATATTCCCACTGCCTTCTAAAGGATTAAGTCATGTTAAAATGCCTATTAAGTATGACGTCTAAGTATAAGATGATAGTCTTAAGTCTGACACAAGGTTTGTGTCGTGAAATCTGATTCTAGTGTTGTAAGTCTGACATCGATGTCATATAAATAATTGTAACACCAGGTTTGTGTCATCATGTCTGACAACAGTGTGTGTCATTCATTAATATGTCTGACACCAGCTTTGTGTCTTTATATCTGACAAAGGGGTTGTGATATCAGCTGTTACAACAGCCACGACAGAATTGTTGCTACCATGAAAGAACTAAAAGATTCAAACCTATTTAATATGTCATAAAAAACTTACTACTGCACATCTCTGAACACCAAATCCGGCTCACTAGTGAAATCATAGACAGACTCTCCCTCAGTGTTGCCATACTCCAGCAGTTTATTATCAACGGCAACACTGCCCTCACAGAGCAATCTTTCTTCGTCTACCGCCAGAAGTTGTTCGTTTTGGAGCACCAGGGGTTCCGTACAAGTTAGGTTGTAGGGGGAAGTGGGGAGAACGGATGGGGAAAGACGGTTTAGGTAGTGCTTTAGGGGGCGAGCGAAGCAGTCGCATTTTAGGCCGTTTCCTGGAACAAAAAGGTTTATTAAGACAACATTCTACTAATATTTGTATAACTAGCGGCCGCCCGCGACTTCGTACGCGTGGATCCCGTTTTACTCCCTTAGGGGTGGAGTTTCGTAAAATCCTTTCTTAGCGGATGCCTACGTCATAACATCTACTGTTTGTTTGGGCTGTGCGTTGATAGATTCAGTGTCGAACTGAATTTCACGCGAACAAAGCTGCAGGCTAAAGCTAATATATTAAACGGATGGCACACGGAAAAGCACCTTTAAAAGCCTAATTGGAGCAAATAAATGACATATACAGGGTGTTTTTCATTTTTTTAACAATCCATTTCATAATAATCGATTATGTTAAAAAAATAAGTCTAAGAAAAGCGACCCGAAAAAGAGATAAAAAAATTCAAGTCTTCTAGGTCATGAAATTTTAAAATGTTATAAAATTAATTATAACTTCTAAACTACGATAAATCGTAGAACATACATATTATGGGGTGAAATCGATAGGTATGGCCCTCACCTATCACCTGGCTTCGGCTTGACACATTACAGAAAACACCCTATATGACTGTCTTATGACCTACCTTCATAATACACAGTAAGTCTCTGACTCCTTATTCCTTTAACCAGCGCCGCTTAAAGCTGTCAAGCTTGTAATGTCAACTAGTTACTAGTGGTGTCAACTGACTATTGGCTTCAACTAGTGACTAGCGGTGTCAACTAGTGACTATTGTCAACTAGTGACCACTACCACTAGCTGTCAATTGGAGACACCACTAGGTGTCGACTAGGGATGTTATGGATATGTAGTTTCGGTTATGGATACGGTTACGGATATAGGAATAATATTATACCGGTTTCGGTTACGGTTTCGGATATTCGAAAGTTTCGGTTATGGTTACGTATATCCATAACATCCTTGGTTTTATGACCTACCTTCATAATACACAGTGAGTCCCTGACTCCTTATTCCCTTAACCAACGCCGGCTCAAAGCTGTCAAGCCTGTTGTGCCGCACATCAAGCTTGTTGAGCCGCCTCGACCGCGATATGCTGTCTATGGGCAGTCTTAGAAGCACGTTGTGTTGGAGATACAACTCTGTTATGTTCTCAGGAAGGTTGAATTTTGCTTCTGCTGTAATGGAGAAAATTATATTTGTATTGTTAAAAACTGAATATTAAAGTACTATGCGCATAGTGCGAGTTTGCATTGAATTAGTTCTTGAAGTATCCGCTAGGGACGCTGTACAATCTGTCATACATTTATGTATTTCTTTCTGCAGTCGCTAGAGATGACGTTTAGTGTAAACTCGCACTAAGTACACTGATATTATCAATCTATAGTCCGGTCGCCGAGCACGTAGAATTTTGTCCAATGACCCCAAGCTACCCATCCTTATCGCTCGCGCGTAATTATGTTGCTGTCGCGACTGTGCGACGGGCGCCCGCAGTGAGTGTGCGGTCATTGGACGAAATTCTACGTACTCGGCGACCGGGCTTTAGATACATAACCGCCTTTGTAGTCTGGCAAGATCACCAGTTTTAGACCCACTGGTCCCGGGTTCGATTCCCAATGGAAGCAAAATTTTAGCTACGCTATATTGAAAAAAATAAGATGATACTTACAAGTTCTTGACACTAAATCTTCCAAGTTATTGTATGAAAGATCCAATACTTCCAGTGACGTCAGATTTCCAAGGACATCTGAAAACAAATTTTAAACAGTTTAAAAACATAATCAATAAATTAAATGTCGTGTGATTTCTGCAGAATAGACGGCCTGCATCCAGATTTCAGCGCCTTCCTGCTACCTTTATGAGTTCGTCCGTCATATACATACACATGTGAAAATCTTGAAGGTAGAAGGTATTTTTCTTCGTGATCCTGCAGTGGAGACTAAATGACCTAATAATAAATTCTTTGGATCGCTATCTAGCCCCAAAGTAAGCAATTAATATGCTTGTGTTATGGGTGCTAGCTTAAACGGATATACTACATATTATACTTTTTTTTAATACATTATTATACATAGTAACACCCAGACCGGTCACAGAAACCAAAATTCATCATTTCAATTTCTGCCCGCCCGGGAATCGAACCCGGGACCTTTCGGTATAGTAGTCCGTTTTAGAACCACTACACCAAACGGCCGACGGACAAATAATGATAATGATCATAAAAATAACATTATACTCACAGCCGCGCACATCATTTATAATATTCCCCGCTAGATTCAACTTCTTCACTTTCTTAGTGCCCAAAGTAAGGTCTAGTGTCACCACCGGTATTTCATTGTAGCTCAGGTCGACTTCCTTCAAGTTGTATGGAATCCACGGACTGGCGGGAAACATTTTCTTGGTTAGGAAACCGAATCTGTTGTGGCTTAGGTTCACCTGGAAGAAATCATATATTAATAGATACTCTATATCAGGGATGTTATAGATATCCGTAACCGAAAGTTTAGGATATCCGAAATAAAAACAATTTGAATTTGAATTTGAAAAAAAATATCCGCCACCATAACCAAAACCGATTCAAAGGTTTCGGATAGTTTCGGATGTAGGCAGAGTCAAGCAAGTCCCTACGCTGATTTAATGGTTTCATTTTAAAGTACCTAAGTACATGAGTTTTTTCCCATAAGATAAAAGCTTTTTTGTGAGACTAATAGAAAACAACTTTGGTGTCAGATGCCAAAGTTGGACAACCATTGGAATCTACACTATGGCATTCTATACTTAGCACAGATATCCGTAACCGTAACCGAAACTTTCGGATATCCGAAATATCCGTAACCGAAACCGGTATAATATTATTCCAATATCCGTAACCGTATCCATAACCGAAACTACATTATCCTTAACATCCCTATAAAATATACCCAATTTATTTATTTTTTATTGCAGCAAACAAACAAAAAACATCTTTTTGCGGACTCAACGTCTGCTTTTTTAGGAGTTATTTTAAGAAATTATATGTGAATACGAATAGTGTTTGTAACACCACCAGGTGTAAGAATCTTGGAAAACTCACCGATTCCAGCGACAGGCAGTCGTCCAACAATCCATTGGTCTTGTTGTCTATCTTGTCCAGCATATTGTAAGAAAGATCAAGTTTTCTGTAAAGAAAAAGAGTATTTAGCTTAAACAATCCTGGCATTGTCAAAATTTGATGGTTTCCTTAATTTATGTTCACCAGTTGGCGCCACTATCCACCGACTAGTGCTGTCAACTAGACGTGACTAGTGGTATCGATTGATTAGTGGTGTTGACTGACTATTGAGTGGAGTCGACCGACTAGTAGTGTTAACTAATGACTAGTGGTGGCAACTCGTGACGTGGAATGTCAACTAGTGACCCCTACTCTACCACTATCTGTCAATTGGTGACACCACTAGGTGTCGACTGATAACCAGTGATGTCAACATTGTCAACTGACTAATAGTGTCAACTAGTGACTAGTGGAACACTCATTCCCAAATACATACACACCAATACTAATTAATGTATTAAACTAATTGTCTAACCTCAAAGCGACCAATCCCTTAAAAGCCTCATTCGGTATCCGCTCCAATAGGTTGCCTCTCAGCGACAAGTCGAGCAACTGTTGCAGGCCGCTGAACGACTGTTACGCGACAGTTTCGATCGCGTTGCGGGACAGATCCAGTTTGAACATAGTGGAGAAGTTGTAACTAGTGGTGTCAACTAGTGACTTGTAATGTCAACTAGTGACCCCTACCACTAGGTGTCAACTAGTGACTTGTAATGTCAACTAGTGACCTCTACCACTAGGTGTCAACTGGTGACTAGTGGTGTCAACTAGTGACTTGTAATGTCAACTAGTGACCCCTACCACTAGGTGTCAACTAATGACTTGTGGTGTCAACTAGTGACTATTGTCAACTAGTGACCACTACCACTAGCTATCAATTGGTGACACCACTGACGACTGGTGATTAGTGATATCATCTGACTAATTGTGTCAACTAGTGACTATTAGAACACTTATTCCCAAATACATATGTCATAGTCAAAGGTCGATATGCAGTCTCTTCGCGGAATGACTGGTCTATCCTAGGTTTGACTAAGGCCTTCAGGCAAACCCCGAAGTGAATTCTTATTTCGGCCTTTGACTAAGTCAAACCTAGAAGTGCCTAAACGGTTCAGTCAAACGTCGAAACTAAAATAATTTGTTTCGGGCTTTGCCTAGTCAATCCTAGAAACGTCTGGCAGACTCGGTCAAAAGTAGATGGCAAATAGAAAACCGGCCTAGTACGAGCCGGATTCGCTCACGAAGGGTGCCGTACGACTCTGTTGTTGTATGGGAGCCCCCCTTAAATATTTATTTTATTTTAATTTTATGATTTATTTTTAAAATAGCTATGCAACTAAATATTATGTGAATATTTCAAGGGTTCACCTGTTTACGTTTTAATATCAAGTAGAAAACTACAACAAGTCACGTTTGCTGTATGGGAGCCCCCCTTAAATATTTAAATATTTTATTGAATTATTTATTTTTAAAGTGAATGATTCATGAGATACGAGCCTGGTGACAGAAAACATTTAGCGAAGTCATAATAATAGGATCTAAACTCTTTATCCTTTAAGGTAACAGAACCCTAAAAAATAGTAATAATAATCAAGATCGATCTAGAAACACTCTATCTTAGTATTGTATAAGTTTAGTTACTCGTACCTTCACCTAAAGAGCGTCAAAACCGACCGTCGTAACGCCTATGTAATAAGTTCGAGATCAGAATATTAAGTATAGTTTAGTTTAAAGTCTTAATTGAGGTTTGACTAGTCAAACCCCGATTTCATGAAATTGAGTTTCGACCTTTGCCTGACCAAATTAGTTACTCCTAGGTTTGACTAAAATTCTTTAGTCAAAGGCCGAAATGTTTGGGCTTTGACTAAGACTTCTAGTCAGACCTGAGGATTGACTAGTCAAACCTAGGAGTGCCGGAACTTCGAGGTTTGACTATAACACATATAAATAATCTCACCTCAGAGCAACTAGTCCTTTAAAAGCCTCGTTCGGTATCCGCTCCAACAGATTGCCACTCAGCGACAAGTCGAGCAACTGTTGCAGGCCGCCGAACGACTGTTGCGCGACAGTTTCGATCGCGTTGCGGGACAGATCCAGTTTGAACATGGTGGGCAGGTTGCCGAAGGCTGACTTCGACAGGGAGGTTATGTTGTTGTCCTGGAAAAAAATCATTAAGTTATTTTAGACTAAAATAGGGCATAGGTTCTCAAACATATTTCGTCTACTGCCCACTTTGACGTACATGGGTGTAGGCAAATAGAACAAAACAGTGCAACGCCACTTAAAATTTTCTTAAGAAGTCCGTAAGAGATTTCAGTAAAGCCGAGTCTAGACGGGTGTAACGCGTAATGGAATGTATCGTGTAATGTAAAGGAAATAGTATGGGCAACACTTTACATGTAATGCTCGCAGTGCCGTCCATATGTAGAATTGGTGTAAAATTACATGCTTAAAGTGCTACATCTTTATGAAATATTATTCACTAGCTTTCCGCCCGCGGCTTTGCCCACGTTGAATTTTGTCTGTCACAGAAAAACTATCGCGCGCGACCCTGTTCCAAAAACCGGGATAAAACTATCATATGCCAAATTTCATTAAAATCGGTTCAGTGGTTTAGGTGTGAAAGCAAGACAGACAGAGTTAGACTAAAAAGTCATATTATGACTTTCAAAATGAATGAAGAAGTTCTAAAGAGATAAGAGATTTGTCATAATACTGTGTCTATAAATAGTAACTGTAATTCCTTAGGCTTTATTATTTTATGCAACTTGTACGAGTATTAGTTATGCTTTTCGCTATAAACCCAGGGTGTGTGTGTAAAATAAAACCAAACAAAATAAGACTTTTACCTGCAAATATAAGTACTGCAAGCTAGTCAGCTTGCTCAGCGCTTCCCACGGCGGTTTGGACAGCTCATTCGCTGACAAATCTAGCACTTGCAGCGTTAGCAGTCCGCTGAAACTGTCCGAAGACAGCCGATCGCCCAGCGAGTTTGAAGACAAATTGAGACGGAGTAGGGAGTTCATAGTCGGCCAGGCATTGTAGGGTAACTCGGTTAGGTTGTTGTGGGCGAAATTCAACCCTCTGTGAAAGATATAAGGACCATTTTGAGTTTTAGACATGGTATTTTAGCTAGATGACTTTGTTGAGGGCGAGTTTTAGACATTGTGAGATTTTTGTAGGCGAAATTCAGCTATCTGTGGAAGAAATAAGGATCATGTTGGGTTTTGAGCAGTGAAACTATCCAAAGAGCAACGCCCAAAGTTTATTTTCAGTTTTAGACATGTTGAATAGTTCGGTAAGGTTGTTGTGGGTGAAATTTAACTCTCTGTGAAAGAGATAAAGATCATTTTGAGTATGAACAGTGAAACTATCCAAAGAGCAACGGCTCAAGGGTTTGAAGACAGGTTGAGACGTAGTAGAGTTCATAGTAAGCCAGGCATTGTAAAGCCCGGTCTGTGAGCACGTAGAATTTTGTCCAATGACCCCAAGCTACCCATCCTTATCGCTCGCGCATAATTATATTGCTGTCGCGACTGTGCGACGGGCGCCCGCAGTGAGTGTGCGAGCGCAACAGCAACATAATTACGCGCGAGCGGTAAGGATGGGTAGCTTGGGGTCATTGGACAAAATTCTACGTGCTCACGGACCAGGCTTTAGAGTAACTCGGTTAGGTTGTTGTAAGCGAAATTCAGCTCTCTGTGAAAGATACAAAGTTTATTTTAGAGAAACTATTCAAAGAGCAACGACTAAAGGGTTTGAAGATAAATTTAGACGGAGTAGTGAGTCCATAGTAGGCCAGGCATTGTAGGGAAGCTCGGTTAGGTTGTTGTGGGCGAAATTCAATCCTCTGTGAAAGATATAAGGACCATTTTGAGTTTTAGACATGGTATTTTAGCTAGATGACTTTGTTGAGGGCGAGTTTTAGACATTGTGAGATTTTTGTAGGCGAAATTCAGCTATCTGTGGAAAAAATAAGGATCATGTTGGGTTTTGAGCAGTGAAACTATCCAAAGAGCAACGCCCAAAGACTTTGAAGATAGGTTCAGACGGAGTAGTGAGTTCATAGTCGGCCAGGCATTGTAGGGTAGTTCGGTTAGGTTGTTGTAAGCGAAATTCAGCTCTCTTGTCAAAGAAATAAGGATCATTTTGAGTTTAGTACAGCGAAACCGGTCGTCCAACGAGTTTGAAGACAAGTTAAGACTTAGTTCATAGTAGGCCAGGCATTGTAGGGTAATTCGGTTAGGTTGTTGTGGGCGAAATTCAACCGTCTGTGAAATAAATAAAGTTTATTTTTAGTTTTAGACATGTTGAATAGTTCGGTAAGGTTGTTGTGGGCGAAATTGAGCTCTCTGTGAAAGATATAAGGATCATTTTGAGTTTTGAGCAGTGAAACTATCCAAAGAGCAACGGCTCAAGGGTTTGAAGACAGGTTGAGACGTAGTAGAGTTCATAGTAGGCCAGGCATTGTAAAGCCCGGTCCGTGAGCACGTAGAATTTTGTCCAATGACCCCAAGCTACCCATCCTTATCGCTCGCGCGTAATTATATTGCTGTCGCGACTGTGCGACGGGCGCCCGCAATGAGTGTGCGAGCGCGATAGCAACATAATTACGCGCGAGCGGTAAGGATGGGTAGCTTGGGGTCATTGGACAAAATTCTACGTGCTCACGGACCAGGCTTTAGAGTAACTCTGTTAAATTGTTGTAACTAAGCGAAATTCAACCCTCTGTGAAATATACAAAGTTTATTTTAGAGAAACTATCCAAAGAGTTTGAAGACAAATTGAGACCGAGTAGTGAGTTCATAGTAGGCCAGGCATTGTAGGGTAGTTCGGTTAGGTTGTTGTGGGCGAAATGGAGCTCTCTTGTCATAGAAATAAGGATCATTTTGAGTTTAGTACAGCGAAACCGGTCGTCCAACGAGTTTTAAGACAAGTTAAGACTTAGTTCATAGTAGGCCAGGCATTGTAGGGTAATTCGGTTAGGTTGTTGTGGGCGAAATTCAACCCTCTGTGAAAGAAATAAAGTTTATTTTCAGTTTTAGACATGTTGAATAGTTCGGTAAGGTTGTTGTGGGCGAAATTTAACTCTCTGTGAAAGATACAAAGTTTATTTTAGAGTAACTATCCAAAGAGCAACGGCCCAAAGAGTTTGAAGATAGGTTCAGACGGAGTAGTGAGTTCATAGTGGGCCAGGCATTGTAGGGAAGCTCGGTTAGGTTGTTGTGTGCGAAATTGAGTTCTCTGTGAAAGAGGTAAAGGTTAAATAACTTTAAAAAACTAACTAAGGTGGAAAAACCGTTGAACTGATGACTAGTGGTGTCAATCAACTGGTGACTAGTATATCAACTGGTAACTAAAGTCGGATTCTTTAGAAATTTCCCTATATGTAAACAAATATGGCCAACTGACATTAAAACATTTTTAATCTGTGCCCTATTGAGGCGACAAAACCTCTCGTTAATCGCGGATTGAAATTATTGTAGTACTTACGTACCTATAGAAAGAATTTATAATGCTTTATAAAGCAATGCATTAAACAATTAGTAGTACATTCAATGAAGAAAAAATACATTGTTGATTAAGACCCTATTTAAATCTATTTAAATGCAATCAGTAATAAAAATGATTGAATAATTGAAATAAAATCGATTAAATTTACCGACTATTGTCTATGACTTACAGGTTACAACACTGATGTGTCAGAGACAACATGGAGATAACACATAATTTTAAACTTCAAGTCAATTTGACAAGTCTCACAAATTTTCATCGTCCACATATTTTGCTAAAATAATTTGTTTAAAGATTGATTCCAAACTTGTATAATCGTGAGAATAAAGTTGGTTTCATGGGCTTGTGAAATAATGTGTATGATATTATGAACACGTAAGTGATTATGGTGTAGTGGCCAGTGCCCAGTGGCGTCAACTACTCACCCCAAACTGATGGGTATCTGGAACATCTTCTGCAGGTGGTTGTGGCTGATGTCGAGCTCGCGACAACTGGCCAGCTTGGCGAGGCTGCCGCGGGACACGTCGGACAACTGGTTGTGGGACAGATCCAGGGACAGAACTGTGGGTATGGTCCCGAAGGTCGCTGGCTTGATGGCTTGCATTGAATTGTGACTCAGGTTCAGGAATCTGGAAAAAAAATACAGTGAATTAAAACCAAAACGTATTAAAAACCTGTAAGGGTCTTTCTCACGGCAATCCATTTGCGAAACTAGACTTCAGTATTCACACGAGAGTATCCTGTTTTTGCAAGTAGATACGGTGTTATAAGGTACGGGGCTTTGCAAAAAATGTATGTCTTACAGTCAAAACTCATAATCGGTCAAAACTAGAGATGAAACGGATATCCGGTAACTATCCGGTAGGCCGGATATCCGGCCTAAATTTACTATCCGGCCGGATACCGGATAGTAACTCACTATCCGGCCGGATACCGGATATTAAAAAACTACGACAATTTCCTATTAATAAAATGAAATACATTTATCTTTGAGGTAAATATCAATAAAATGGCTCATAATAATGACGGCTTTTATTTAAAGTCGAAAAAATTACAAAAACTCCATAAGGCCTTTCAAAACTATTTTCTTTTTCTGGGCTATTCACTCTAATGACGAATACATAAATAGTAAATATCTGTTAATGTCGAAATATTGCCAAATAAAATAGGCGATTTTTTTTTTTTTCACTGATGGTCTGATGACATGATGCAACTAATTAAAGGGCATCATCCATGTTTCATATATTTTTGGTCCAAAATCAAAAGTGCCGGCCAACAAAAAAAAGTGCTGTATTCTGACAGAATACGTCTGCCTTAGCATTTGTTACTATGGCACCAAAGCCGTAGCTCCACTGTGCGTCGAGTATTTGAGATCTAAAAGTCATCGATTATTCATACATTTTTTGTTCAAAATCAAAAGTGTCGGCCAATAAAAAAAAAAGTGCTGTGTTCTGACAGAATACGTCCGCCTTAGCATTTGTTACTATGGCACCAAAGCTATAGCACCACTATGCGTCGAGTATTTGAGATCTAAAATTCATCGACGATTCATACATTTTTTGTTCAAAATCAAAAGTGTCGGCCAATAACAAAAAGTGCTGTCTTCTGACAGAATACGTCCGCCTTAGCATTTGTTACTATGGCACCAAAGCTGTAGCACCACTGTGCGTCGAGTATTTGAGATCTAAAATTCATCGACGATTCATACATTTTTTGTCCAAAATCAAAAATGTCGGCCAATAAAAAAAAAGTGCTGTATTCTGACAGAATACGTCAGGATACTATTCGACAAGGCCTCACATACGAGCGAACATTGACTCACGCACGCGTATTCTTGTGTATGATGGAAGAAAATAAAGAAAATGGTGTACCTACTAAATACTGTGCACTATTTAACTGCCTAAATAATAATAAAAACACAGAATGTACTTTTTTAAGTTGCCTCAAGCTCAAGACACTGAGAGGTAAATAAGTAGTTAATATTATTCATGATAATTCATGCTTAATCATGTATTTCCTCCGCCATTTTCCGCAGTTTGGCACCTCACGTCACATCATTTTACCGAAGTCAGCCCTATAGCTTCGGCGCAGTGCCGATCACTGACGTTTGTCAACAAAATGGTGCTTGACTCTTGAGACAGGCTAAATTACACCATATTGTTAATGACATTGAGCATACATTTTTTTAAATACCTTCGCGAAGTAAAACTTCTGTACGTAGTACTTATTATTATTCTGTGCTATGACACCAAAGCTGTAGCACCACTGTGCAGTATTTGAGATCAAAGTCAGTCGTTTCATATATTTTTAGAGCTCAAATACTACGATGCACAGTGGTGCTACAGCTTTGGTGCCATAGTAATAAATGCTAAGGCGGACGTATTCTATCAGAATACAGCACTTTTATTTTTGGGCCGGCACTTTTGATTTTGGACCAAAATGGATGATATCCTTTTCGCTATTCAATCACACACTCACGATTGCAACCGAGATTGAATTGATCTGCCCCCAAGACAAGTGGCAAAATCTGACATTCTATTCGGATGGATTCCATTTTTGAAAAGTGTAACTAATCTAGTCTACTAATAGACCTGCTGATCGCGTTCGTAGCACCTGTGCGGCGCAGCTATACTCGTCACGACATGCAACGAGACAATGGGCCAACTATCCGGCCGCCGGATATCCGGCTATCCGGCTTAGCAGCTGGCCGGATATCCGGTATCCGGTATCCGGCCAAACAACTATCCGTTTCATCTCTAGTCAAAACCACTTTTGACAGATTTTTTCAGTCAAGTGGTTTTGACCGATTATGAGTTTTGACTGTAACATATTATGCAGTGAGTTATAATAAATAAAGTCTATTTCGGTAACTTTTACACATTTTTAATCACAAGTATTTAGGGCTACCTATCAAGTAACCAGTTTTGCCTCTGTTAAGAAGTTGGTAGTGAAAACACGTATATTAAACAATACATTTAATTAAAATGGATCCTGTTTTGACTAGTTCATTTTAAAGTTTTCAAAACCTGCAAAAAACGGTATGTCGCCGTGGGAAAGACCCCTTATCTTATAGCATGGAATATCCAAACCATTCCTATAGGTTTGGAGGCGCGGTAGCGTATGCCAGTCATTGTATCAGCACCATCTCTTAGTGATGACTACCACTAGTCTATACTAGACTAGACCCGTCGATAGATGTCGCCAGTATCTTACCTCAAAGAGAACAAGTTCTGGAACACCGCGTTGAATATCTCCGTCAGCTTGTTGTATGAGACGTCCACTGTATGGAGCTCATACAGCTTCGGGAACGCGTTGCGAGGGATGCGCTGTATGTTGTTGTGTCAACTGGCGACTAGTGGTGTCAACTGGTGACTAGTGGTGTCAACTGGCGACTAGTGGTGTCAACTGGTGACTAGTGGTGTCAACTGGTGACTAGTGGTGTCAACTGGTGACTAGTGGTGTCAACTGGTGACTAGTGGTGTCAACTGGTGACTAGTGGTGTCAACTGGTGACTAGTGGTGTCAACTGGTGACTAGTGGTGTCAACTGGTGACTAGTGGTGTCAACTGGTGACTAGTGGTGTCAACTGGTGACTAGTGGTGTCAACTGGTGACTAGTGGTGTCAACTGGTGACTAGTGGTGTCAACTGGTGACTAGTGGTGTCAACTGGTGACTAGTGGTGTCAACTGGTGACTAGTGGTGTCAACTGGTGACTAGTGGTGTCAACTGGTGACTAGTGGTGTCAACTGGTGACTAGTGGTGTCAACTGGTGACTAGTGGTGTCAACTGGTGACTAGTGGTGTCAACTGGTGACTAGTGGTGTCAACTGGTGACTAGTGGTGTCAACTGGTGACTAGTGGTGTCAACTGGTGACTAGTGGTGTCAACTGGTGACTAGTGGTGTCAACTGGTGACTAGTGGTGTCAACTGGTGACTAGTGGTGTCAACTGGTGACTAGTGGTGTCAACTGGTGACTAGTGGTGTCAACTGGTGACTAGTGGTGTCAACTGGTGACTAGTGGTGTCAACTGGTGACTAGTGGTGTCAACTGGTGACTAGTGGTGTCAACTGGTGACTAGTGGTGTCAACTGGTGACTAGTGGTGTCAACTGGTGACTAGTGGTGTCAACTGGTGACTAGTGGTGTCAACTGGTGACTAGTGGTGTCAACTGGTGACTAGTGGTGTCAACTGGTGACTAGTGGTGTCAACTGGTGACTAGTGGTGTCAACTGGTGACTAGTGGTGTCAACTGGTGACTAGTGGTGTCAACTGGTGACTAGTGGTGTCAACTGGTGACTAGTGGTGTCAACTGGTGACTAGTGGTGTCAACTGGTGACTAGTGGTGTCAACTGGTGACTAGTGGTGTCAACTGGTGACTAGTGGTGTCAACTGGTGACTAGTGGTGTCAACTGGTGACTAGTGGTGTCAACTGGTGACTAGTGGTGTCAACTGGTGACTAGTGGTGTCAACTGGTGACTAGTGGTGTCAACTGGTGACTAGTGGTGTCAACTGGTGACTAGTGGTGTCAACTGGTGACTAGTGGTGTCAACTGGTGACTAGTGGTGTCAACTGGTGACTAGTGGTGTCAACTGGTGACTAGTGGTGTCAACTGGTGACTAGTGGTGTCAACTGGTGACTAGTGGTGTCAACTGGTGACTAGTGGTGTCAACTGGTGACTAGTGGTGTCAACTGGTGACTAGTGGTGTCAACTGGTGACTAGTGGTGTCAACTGGTGACTAGTGGTGTCAACTGGTGACTAGTGGTGTCAACTGGTGACTAGTGGTGTCAACTGGTGACTAGTGGTGTCAACTGGTGACTAGTGGTGTCAACTGGTGACTAGTGGTGTCAACTGGTGACTAGTGGTGTCAACTGGTGACTAGTGGTGTCAACTGGTGACTAGTGGTGTCAACTGGTGACTAGTGGTGTCAACTGGTGACTAGTGGTGTCAACTGGTGACTAGTGGTGTCAACTGGTGACTAGTGGTGTCAACTGGTGACTAGTGGTGTCAACTGGTGACTAGTGGTGTCAACTGGTGACTAGTGGTGTCAACTGGTGACTAGTGGTGTCAACTGGTGACTAGTGGTGTCAACTGGTGACTAGTGGTGTCAACTGGTGACTAGTGGTGTCAACTGGTGACTAGTGGTGTCAACTGGTGACTAGTGGTGTCAACTGGTGACTAGTGGTGTCAACTGGTGACTAGTGGTGTCAACTGGTGACTAGTGGTGTCAACTGGTGACTAGTGGTGTCAACTGGTGACTAGTGGTGTCAACTAGTGTCTAACTAGTGGTGTCAACTGGCGACTAGTGGTGTCAACTGGCGACTAGTGGTGTCAACTAGTGACTAGTGGTGTCAACTGGCGACTAGTGGTGTCAACTGGCGACTAGTGGTGTCAACTGGTGACTAGTGGTGTCAACTGGCGACTAGTGGTGTCAACTAGTGACTAGTGGTGTCAACTAGTGTCTTACCTCAAAGAGAACAAGTTCTGGAACACCGCGTTGAATATCTCCGTCAGCTTGTTGTATGAGACGTCCACTGTATGGAGCTCATACAGCTTCGGGAACGCGTTGCGAGGGATGCGCTGTATGTTGTTGTGCGATGCGTTGAGAACGCGGATACCAGTCATATTGTGGATTGGAATCTGGAAGGAATTTGAATGATATAAAGTACGAAATAAGTGTAAGGGCTGTTTTCCACCAAAGTAAAGACATTTAAGGTCTGCCTAATTAATGTTTAATTGTTTTGATGGCTTTAGGGTTGTAGTAATTTACCCAAATTAACTTATATTAAAATTTAATTACACTAAGATTGTATAACCTGAGCGCTGCATGTTCAATCATGATTATTATTTTTAGGCATGCATCGCTTGGTACTCATTACCTGATAAATGTAATAATGTACGAACTTATTTAAGCAGCTAGGAAACTCTTTAATTGGCTTAGATTTAATGCTCATCAAACTAACATGAATATTGTAAAACAGCTGTTGAGTTTCTGAATAAATAAATAAATAAATGAAAACATAATATGCTGGAACGTGTGGCATAGCGGATAATTTATTTCCGTCAAAGCTGAGCGGAGAGGAATGGAAATGTGCGGAGGTCTTATCGCCACTCCGCTCTGAACTACTTACTACGTATTTTGTATGGAAACCATATTTTCCTGGTTGCTTGTAATTTGTTTCTTCTATTAATTGTTAGCTCATCTCGCTTCGGTGGAAAACAAGCCTAATAATTAAGTGCCTAAGAGCTGATTTTTATAGAATTCTTATAGAATATCATAATCTTAGTTTTAAAACTAATCATATAGTTTTAAATTAACCGAAAAGTAGGTATGATTTTGTAGATTTGTAATCGATAAAAAATACAGTAATTCAATGGGGATTCACACTGAAAAATCCAACACAAACATCAAAGTTTCATAATTTTGACATGTTTAAGCCGCCGCTAGGGCCATCTGCAAAAAGCTTAGCGTATTGAACGCCATTGCATAAAATCTATACTAATATTATAAATGCGAAAGTAACTGTGTCTGTCTGACTGTCTTGCTTTCATTTCACGCTTAAACCACTGAACCGATTTTGATGAAGGGTATAGAGATAGTTTGAGTTCCGGGAAAGGACATAGAATAGTTTTTATCCCGGTTTTTGAAACAGGGACGCGCGCGATAAACTTTTTCTATGACAGACAAAATTACAGACGGGTGAAGCCGCGGGCGGAAAGCTAGTAAAAAAATAAATGCGCGAGTGCACGGGTGACTTTTGTCACCGTAACAAGTATACTTTCTCTTTCATACTTTTAAAGAAAAAAACAGAGACAACGTAGTATATTCTTGTCTATAGTCTTGTCTGCGAGCACGTAGAATTTTGTCCAATGACCCCAAGCTACCCATCCTTATCGCTCGCGCGTAACTATGTTGCTGTCGCGCTCGCACACTCACTGTGGGCGCCCGTCGCACAGTCGCGACAGCAATTTACGCGCGAGCGATAAGGATGGGTAGCTTGGGGTCATTGGACAAAATTCTACGTGCTCGCAGACCGGGCTTTATAAGTAAATATCTATAAAGTCACTCACCTGCCCAAAATCAGTGAAATTATTATATGCCACTTGCAACTCCGAAGCGTAACTATTCTCATCGAACGCGTTCTTGTTGATATCCTGCAGGTTGTTATAGCTCAAATCCAATAGCGTCATATTGTTACAATTCTGGAAGGCGTTCGCTTCAATCTTCTGTAGAGAGTTGTGCGATATATTTACGACCGCTAGATATAGGTCCGTGAAGGCTTGTGCTTCTATGACGGTTATGTTGTTCTCTGCTAGGTTTATAAGCTGGAAATTTTAAAAAAGAATTAAAATTCATGAAATGGAAAATATTACCTCTTCCTTTTAAAATTTTGGTTAAAAATTTTGGGAACATTAATCAATATTGTAGGACACAACTGTAAAAACACACTTTATTCTAGTTCTGAAAAACCCACAGGTCACACTACAAACTCCCCATGCATTCCCCGCTAAAGCCCCGTTTCCTATATCATGTGGTCTCATTCATTCAAACTATCCTTCGCCACTGACGCTGGAGTCCCCACGCCTGACCCACACATCGAAATGGACGCCTCTATCAGTCAAAGTGCATTCTCACGTAAACGCCCTACCAAGCGACCCATTCGATTCTAGGGCACTCCACCGCCACCAACATCCATCTTAGTTCACTTCTTACGGATGCCCCGCTCTATTCTAGGGTACACCCTACGAACTCGCATCTAGACCTATACTCATAATAAAAATCCCGGTAAGTTATATGTAAGTTCACCCTCTAATGCACTACCCATGAATGCCTCGCTCTAATTGGTCTTAGTGCGCTTCCCATAAACGCTTTTACGTACGCCCCGCAAACGCCCCACGTATTCCCCAATCTTGCCCCACTCACCTCGGCGTATTTGACCTGCTGGAACATCTGATAATCAACTTTAGTGATTCTGTTGCGAGCCAAGTCTACGGTTCCGATACGTGTAACAGCCGCGAACGTACCACGACCGACGTCGGATATCATATTGTCTTGGAGGAATAGGCGCCTGGAAAAAACAAGGGATACACAAATTCATATCAAATAAAATCAATTAATTTATTCACCAAAGCACCATGATGGTTTGTTATTTATTTATTTATTTGATCACCAACAAGGTAACATTATAGCGTTCACAAAAGTAACTTAAAATAATGACACTTGTTAAATGCAACTTGTTCTCTATTACTACTTTAGCCTAGGAGCAGACCATCGATTTTTCGTCGGCCGATAGTTTAGTCGGGCAGTTGATCAGTATGGGCATTGGGCATGTATGGAAGTACGCACATTACACCGATTCGATTTGGCCGACAAAATAGTTGAATGGGCTTCCCAACTGCCGACGAAAAATCAATGGTCTGCGCCTACTCTTAAAATTATATTTTTGTTTGAATAAATAAATAAAAAAATTGTAAAGAAATTGGATGATAACAAAGTGTTACCTATAATATTACCTTTTCTTTTGGTATAGCGATACAAATTTTGGGCCTAGCATGCATAAATTATTGGGATATCTTCTTTGACATTAGGTACTCTTACCTCAAAAACCGCATTCCTCTGAAGCTGTTGGTGTCCAATTTCTTTATTTTGTTGTTGTCCAAATGTATCACTTTCAGCACTGTGTTTCTAGCGAACATACCCCTGTGAAAATTTAAGAATTTAAGCACGAAAAAAGAACTTCTTAATAAAACCAGAATCTTATAAGTAAATAAACCAGCACCACAGTGGGCAGGGCACAATGGGGCAGCAAGGTTCTGGAGTGGAGGCCGCGTACCGGAAAGCGCAACGTAGGAACGTCCACCCACAAGGTGGACCGACGACATCATAAAGCAGCGGTTCCCAAACTTATTTAGTCTACTGCCCACTTTGAGAATAAATCATTTTTTAGCGCCCCCCATTTTTGTAGTCAAGAGTCGAGCTCAGTCGGTGTCGGTCTAAGAGTCCTCCTAGTAGATGACGCCTCCCAAGCCTCTACACAACGTCCCGATTTTTTTTCTGGGTCTCTTACCGCCCCCCTTTAATCCTGCAGCGCCCACAAGGGGGCGTTATCGCCCACTTTGGGAAAGACTGTCATAAAGGTAGCAGGAAGGCGCTGGACGCAGGCCGCTACCAACCGGGCAACATGGAAATCATTGGGGGAGGCCTATGTTCAGCAGTGGACGTCCTATGGCTGAGATGATGATAACAGTGACAGTTGTAATCGAAATCTCGCCCGGCGTTTTTTAAGTAGCTTCTTACAACTCGGGTCAAGTTAACTGACCGCGGCCGTGACGTCACATCGTCGCTCTGGTACGGACGGGGCGAACGGGTGTGCGGGAAGTGGGAGGGAGAGTCGCATTCCAGCGAGGTACGCTTAGCTCGACCGGGTTGTAAATAAGCCCCTCTAATCAAGTGATTGTAATGAGGGTTTTCGCGAATGAAAGATCCGCTAGATGGCGGGACGAGGATGTGGGGTCTGACTCCTGCGTGGTTGGTGGATTTTGACATATCTATCAATGTCATGTCAAACATAACCAATCATGCAGCATTTGGACCTCGCGTCTACGTATTGCCATCTGGCGGATTTTTCATTTTTCATTCACGGCGTTTTTTTGGATGTAGTTACTTCTCTCCGTGAAGGTATTTCGATATTACAACTGTCACGTTTTGCCACTTGTCTAGCTAGCTAACAGCGACTTATCGACAGCCTGACCCTTGTTGAAGCGTCGCTCCAGGAACTTGACCATCGCCGTAAGGTAGCATCCCTATCGGTTTTCTACAGGCTACACTTCGGAGAATGTGCGAAAGAATTACATGAACTAATTCCACCAGCCCCCTTCCATGATCGGGGAACCAGACGCAGGTTAGCGTACCATCCCTATATTGTTGACATTCCACCATCTCGCACTGAGCGTTTCGATGATTATAATGTGAACCTAGCTCCCATTGAAAAACAGTTCTAAATCCGTATTCACAAGGGTCATTTTGATAGAACGATTACTCGATAGGATCGCAACTCAGTGTTTTGTTGTCGTTAAAGTTTTGTTACGTGAATAAGGCCATTCAAAAAATAAGAAGAAAATTATTTATTACCTTGCTATTTCTCCAATTTGATTGTGGCTGACGTTGCAGAAACCGAGTTTGGTCATGTCTCCAATGTGGCTGCCGTCCAGTTTTTGTATCATGTTGTAACTGAAAAACAAATAAATAAAAGGAGATTGTGATAATTATTGGTTCTGGCAATTTTACAACGGTGTTAACGTCTCACTTGATGGCACAAATCAAGTCGGCCTCGATGTGTATTGCCATCAACAAAAAAAAAGAAGTGTGTTCTGTAATAGCAATACTTTTAATTACTTTAATTTCAATAGTTTCTTATCAATCTTATCTGTGATATTTTTAATCTATCACTCAGACCATAGAAATCATTTATTTTGTGGCAACGCAATAAAAAAAAGGTCCACAGAGAAAACAACAACAAACAAAACTTTTTATTTCCTTCTAAATACCTTTAAAAAAATGTTAAGTTTGTAAATTATACATATTATTCTCTTTACCTACCTATATTGTACGTCCGAAATGGGCAAACTGTTGGTTCCTGTGTTAATTAACATCCATGTAACAACAATGTATGCACAGTTTTGACAATAATTGACTATCTTATCTTATCTTAAAAATATTACCTCAAATCCAAAACTTCAGTGTCCCTCAGCCCTTTAAACTGGTTCCTCTTCAGTGTTGCCAGTTTATTCCCGTGCAGATCCAAAGTTTTAAGCTTTTTCAACGTCTGAAACGCTTCTATAGGTACATCTGATAGCAGTCCATTGACTATATGGAGTTTTTCTAGTTTGCCAACGGCTTCACTTCCAGCGAATATGTCTTTATCCAGTTTTGTTATTTGGTGACCGTCAATTGATAGGATTGAAAGGTTGCCGAGTATCTGAAAAATAATATTAGGGTATTAAATAATGTTGCGCTTTCCGGTACATGGCCTCCACTCCAGAACCTTGCTGCCCCATCGGCCGTCAGTTCTGCGTACTATGTGCCCTGCCCATTGCCACTTCAGCTTGCTAATCCGTCTTTTCCGTTTCCGTTTACAGACTTTCTGGGATTAGGTCAGCTGGTAGAGAATGACGTATGGCATTAAGCTCGCCTTTTTGTACAGAACATTGTTGTGTGTGCAATAAAGTCTTTAAATAAATAAATAAATAAATTATTCTTTTATTAACTCACTTTGAACGCCTCTTTGGGAAACTCCGCCATACGCGTGTTGTAAAACCGCAACTCCTGTAAAGTGCGGTTCACACCAGCCAGGGCGTATTCTTCTATGGTTTGTATGGGCGTGTCGATTATGTGTAACACCCTTATGGTGGACCGATGAAGCATTGGTCCTTGGAGGCGGGCTGGAAAATAATAAAATTACTTAGTAACGTTAAAGAAAAGTTGTACAATAAGTTTTTGTATTTTAGGTCATTTAGTTTTGTACTAGAGGTAAACGAAAGATTTGGCCACGCCACCTAGCCAGTCAGGTTAGGAAGGCGTTTATACTATTCTCATCATCTAAATCAAATTGCAAACCCAACACCCAACCCATTTGGCCAACGTGGAGATGGGGAGTGTAGGCCAAATCCTTTATTTACCTCTATAGTCTGGTCTGCGAGCACGTAGAATTTTGTCCAATGACCTCAAACTACCCATCCTTATCGCTCGCGCGTAATTATGTTGCTGTCGCGTTCGCACACTCACTGCGGGCGCCCGTCTCACAGTCGCGACAGCAATATAATTACGCGCGAGCGATAAGGAAGGGTAGCTTGGGGTCATTGGACAAAATTATACGTGCACACAGACCGGGCTTTAGTAAAAAAGTCATGCTCATACAATTTAAAAACAAATATCAATACTTACTAAATCTCCCTTCTTTGATCTCCAATCTCTCTATCGGAAACCCTAATCCAGCTAAATTCCCCAAACCGACACTCATGATCGCCAGCCCTGTATTCTCGCACCGAACGTACAGCCCTGCATCTGTCCCTTTCTCGCACACGCATGGGTACATAAGCAGTCTGTCTGTCTCTTTCGGGCACGGATATTTGGGTCCTGGTGGTATGTATTCGGAATTTAAAAGGGGAATTAGTGTTGACAGCGTGAAAAATAGTAGAATCTCCATTTTTGGGTAGGTAGATCTGAACAGAAACAAAATTAAATTAGTACAAAGATCTGGTGAAGATCGTGGTACATAGCTAGATGCGGACAGTGTAGGACTGGTCGTTATGGAAATCCCTAGAGGGCCTTTGTCCAGCAGTGGACGTCATTGGGCTGAAACTAATGAACGATGTTAGTCTCATACTTCCTAAAATATAAATAATATCTCTCATTGTCTAGCTATTTCTAGGAAACAATATATTTCCTTGAGATAGTCAGACAATATCATCAAGGCTATCATCAAGGCCTTAGTGCAACAGTAGACGTTATTTTGTGGAAATGAACGAACAAATCAAATCAAATATATTTATTGAGCGAATTTTGGATTTGCGATTTTGGGTAAACTTTTCAGTACATTTACTCCATAACTTCCATAAATTGTACAAAATACAGTAAAGGGGCAAAATCACTCAGACATTATTAAAAAAAGGAATTTTAAACAAGTTGATTTATCCTATATTGATTATCCCATAAAATAGAATATTGGGGAAGCTCTTATCTAAGACATACTCTTTTTAACTTTTCCATGGTGACTAACATTTAAGATATTTCAACAACAAAAATTGCCTAATTTCATACGAGTCACACTCAAGAAATCCCCTATCATAGACTAATAAAAATACTAAATATTTAAAAACGCACTATTATTCTCTTCGATTGTTAATGTTCAATATTTTTCTGCGTAGATAACATGGCAATTAATTACAAGAATAACTTTTCAAGGCAAAACTTTGCAAGTGACAACACAAAAACTTTTATAAAACTTAGCAGAAGGTCACAAAAACCAGTTTCCATCTCGTGCAATATTCGTCATAATTACAATACTCGTTCTAAAAATATTTGTGTATTCAATAAACCAAGCAATTAGCATTAATATTCCTTTTCACTTTGACAAAACTTGTTATTAGTTACGCGCAACTCTATGTAAGGCGTAAATATGTTACTTTCACCAGCGAAAAAACGCACTTGAAACAATTACCTGTCAGTAATCATAAGTTGATTATCGATTACAACAAATCCTGCAGTTTCTGTGTTGTTTTCAGCAGTTGTAACATTCTAATTGCGCTGATATTCACGCAATATTTTTCCTGGAAAAACTGCACAACCTACCCCGCCATGTTCAACACAAAACTACTTTTATTTTTTTTATTCGCCCCAGCCGTCATCATGACCACAGAATAAATAAATAAGTTAACTGTCATTTAGTTCTTGGCAATGGATTTTGTCTTTTGACCAATAATAAATATTGCCATAAATCTTGCAATATTCCGGTGTATTTTCTACTAAATAATTTTTTTTTAGAAATACCATGGATCTTGTTAATTTTTTCTGTCGAATTTATTATAATATAGGGTGTTATTTTTTATACTGATCATACTTTACCAACGGATCTAATAAAATCATACAAATACAACCCAAGTGTTTTTAAAAAAAATTCAGGCTAGTTTTTGTTTTTACTTTTCCTAACAAAAAAAAGATATTATTTTTACAACCATCCTGTCTTCACTCACTGCCTCTCTCTCTTTCTTTACTCCTTTCATTCATACGAGTACGAACAATGGCCGCGCGCATTCATTCAACGTTCACACACATAAAGGTTAGATTACACTTAACCTACGTTACCAAAAATTATCACTCGTGAGTATGTACGATGTTACGTCATGTTAATAGGTACTGCGCGCTGGGAGAAACAAAATCTAGCCACATAAGTAGGTAAATAAGTGTATTTTCATTAGTGTAATACCGGGGGACTTTTCCAACGAACCGAGGCGAATCATCCGCGTTAAACTAGAAATTTAAAAAAGGATAGAAATTGGAATTCAATATCTACGGTTTCGTAATGCCTACGCAATTTATTTAGAGACGTAATAAAAAATTGATAGGTACATACCTATTACTACTTCGCTTCGCTTCAGTGGAAATGCATGGCAACAACTCCTTGATAAGGCATTCCGTATTTTTACGCAAAAGCCGCCGTCTGCGGCGCTCGCATCTGGGTACCGCCAGCACTGTGCCGGTGATTGAAATTGAAATCCAGAACTTCGTCCTCGAAGCGCACGGGATCTCGTCAAGTCAGGATACGGCTGCGCTCCCTGAAGCGCTGCGCGGCTCCAAACAAGCAAGGTGTGAAGGTTTTCGACTCGTCAATGTTTCTCGTCGGCCAGTTAGTGTGCCCGAAACATAATTTCACCTGCGTTTTGTTATTTATCAAGCGCGGCATTGTAATAACTCGCACACACACACTGCAATACGTTTGGGCACAACATTGGACTGACTGGGACGATTGTTTGTTGTTGCGCTCCCGCATGCCGATAGGCGGCTCGGCGCGGGCTGTGGGCGCGGAGCGACTGGCAGCGATATCAATATGGCCGACTCACGCGGCGCGGCACGTGGCAGCGGTCGTTGCCCTCGGCCGGCTACTACGATAGTGCGTAAACGAGTACACACCGCGCTCAAAGGATGATTTATTTTTTATTTTTTTCGAAACATTCTTTGTCGTTTTACTCGAAAACTAGCCTGATTTTTTTTTAAAAAACACTTGGGTCTTATTTGTATGATTTTATTAGATGTGTTGGTAAAGTTTGATCAGTACAAAAAATAACACCTTATATAATAAATAAACATTTAGTTTTTGATTGATGTGAAACTGCTTGGTACAGTTTTATCGTTGCTATAACTCAAGCAAAAATAAAATATGTCATAGCAGTAATTTTGACATTTTATTATTTTTTTAGCATTTTTATTATTTATTAAAATCGTACAGGAATATTACTAAAATGTCACCTAAAAGGAAGAAGAAGCCTATTAATGAAAAATTTCGATGCGATCAAGTCGAAGGGGAACGCTTTCATGCCCAAACAGACGATGTGTTCAGATATAACTGGTGGGAAGTATTCTGCTTCCCTTACATACTTTGTGCAAGGTTTTGGGACTGCTGCGTATCATTATGTGCGGGTACAAACCAGTGCATGGTGTATTGGATGATTATACAATGGGTAGTTTGCAAAATAACAAGACTGACGACCCCAAACGCTATTATATTCCCATACTACTTTTACATGTTTTGCCAAGTGATCCTACTAACTGCATTTTTTATTTTACTTTGGTATTGGTTTGGAAGAACACTAGTTGTGCCGTATTTTGTCTCATTCTACAATGCTTTGACGGACACAGAAGAAGTGGTAGCATCGAAAAATGCCAGTCGCTTATCATTCAGAAGATATTGCTTTAGGAAAGGGGAAATATTTGATAGTACGCTAGAAACGAATAATTTTGGCAGTCATCTCCAACCAAAGTTTACGGCGATGGTAATAATCGCTGTAGATGCGTTTGTTGTACAAGCAATTTATTAAAACATTTTTATTCATTTTCATTGCTTTTCTTTTGTGTGATACGTACCTATTCGTTTTAAATAACTGGAAAAAATCGAATTTCCTAAGGTGGGAATCGAACTTATGACCTTTCGCTTGCCGGGCGACTCCTCTCACACTGTTTATTTTTCTCACATCGTGAAATTAAGTTTATGTGTATGTATAATGCTATGAGATTATCCCAGGTCCCATCCTGGGTATCCCGTGCAATTTTAAAATTTACTCCTTTTTATAATCTTATATTAATCATGTTTAAAATCAAAATACAAACCTGTGTTGAGAAGATTCCGAAAAATTTTAAAAAAATCGTTAATTTGGTAGAAAATATCTGACTAGGATGTCAACATTATAAATTTGACATTTACAGATGGTAGAAACTAGTAGAAACCGCTTTTTTAATCAGTTCACCCCGAAAATGGCGAGTGGTGTGTCATGTCAGTCCTAATTTCATTTTACATTTTTACAAAAACTGATTATCTCATCGCGACAGTGCCCCTTTCGTAATCAAAATCGCGTAGGAAATCCCTATCAGCATCTCAGCGTTTATTTTTTCTACTGGTAAGTAGTTTTTGTCCTACTTTTTGTATAGAAAGAAGGGAAATTGGAATAATTTTCTAAACAACTTTTTCCTTGAGTGTGCTGAAGGAAATTTGAATAGTAGAGATTTCTATCGTTGCACTCTGAATAGAGAATACGCTTCAGTTATATCACCAGTGTACTCAATCGCTTTTACAGTTAGTAACTACAAAAATTCTTGTGTAGGTCAGGTATTGCATGTGCAGTTTTCAATTTTCTATTTCCTTTTTTATGTGAACTCGTCCGCAATCTAGCCAGTGCTGTGCGTGAGCATGTAACGAATATCGTGGAATATCAATTAAAATCGTATAGTTGGCAATAATCATGTATTTCTGGTGACCTACAAAGGTAATGGAGAGCCTTCTGACCTTCATATCTACTTTCTAAATCATCATAACTTTATAGTTTACCAAAATATTGTTTACAAACTGCCTCTGGCTGAAGAAAGTGTGTCAACAAACCTTAAAAGTACAATTTCTAGTAATTTGCTTTCATATTTGTTTGTATTTTACTTTGACAAATAACTTTTTGATATTTTTCACTCAAATAACTTTATTTATTTAGTATTCTCCTTAATATTTGCATTTTTTTACCAATTCATTGCTTAATTTTCAATTGCTACATAGGTACAATATTTGTTTGAAAGTTAATTTCAAGGTTTTTATGTAAGTGTGTAATGAAAATGAAATACAGATCTCCAAAAATAGATAAAACTTTTCATGATGTACTATTTAGATAGATGACACTTGAAAGTGACTTGGAATGAAGGAAAATTTAATAAAATAAATATGTATAGTCCTTAAAATAAAAAGAATTTTTTAAAGTACACTATTTACTAACAAAATAAAAGCATAACCAAACAATGTGTGGTCAAATACCTGCCTTGTTCTGCATAAGAAAAAGAAAGATTATATGTTTTTAACAAATTATGGCATAAAATTAAAAAATGAACATTGGAAAATGTTGGTCAATGTGCTGAAAACATATTTTTCTTGTTCAATTTAAAATAAAATACCTATGTACGAATATTTAGGTAACTAATGAATTTATTTCAATAATAATAAGTTTTAAAACAAAATTCTAATTTCTTTTTTGTTGAATGTATTTGTTTAATAAAGTTCAAACCACAATTTTTCATAGCCATTTGTATTGTGATGGATTTCCTTCTTGTTTAAATTATGATTTTTTGTAAGGTCATTGTTAAAATTGTTTTACAATGCTAATATGTTTGATGGCAACAAATAATAAATTTGCATAGTTTTGGTGACCTTATGAAGCAGTTCACCTTTTTATGGGTCTTTTTGTAACATCAAACGTCAGCGAGACTTCAGATCTCCTTCAGATTTATATGCTCTGTCACATCATAATATTATTATGATGTTCTTAACTCAGTCAGGCACTTAGTTAAGTGCTAGACCTGTAGCAAAATATTTATACTTCTCCGTATGCTCAAAATAGTGCCATACTTAGTTTAAACTTAACTTAAAAGTTACTGCAACTAGACAAAATAATAATTGATGCTTCGCTCAGGTGTTTTTGTACATAATTATGTGCTACGTGAAGAGATTTACAAATGAAAACTATCTGGTAGGTAACATTTTCTGATATCTATTGTTTACTGTTAATATTAAAGTTGGATTTTGAACTATTCTTCATGTTGGTTCTAACAACTGAGCCTCAAGCTGCAAGTTCATGACCTGCCGGGTACGATACGCGCCCTGATAAAATCTTATCGATTTTAGACGACAAATGTATGGGCTTATCGCGTAGTCGATAAAACTTTATCATGCCCGCCTTCCTAGACCTCGTTCGTTCGTTTCAGCCAAATGACGTCCACTGCTGGACAAAGGCCTCTCCCAAGGATTGCCAAAACGACCGGTCCAGCTCCGCCCATATCCAGGCACCTCCCGCAACCTTTACCAGATCGTCGGTCCACCTAGTGAGGGACCTGCCCACCATACTACCTCTTCCGGCCCGTGGTCGCCACTCGAGAACTTTTCTGCAATCAATGAGGGCTACCTTTTTGGCGCCACTGTAAGGTTCCGTCACTCGCTAGTGTTGCCAACTGTAACTATAGGCCGTGGCCACTCCAGTAAGTGACGATGACGATGCGCGACAACTTTTAACGACGTCAAAATGTATGGGGTAAATCGATAAAATGGCGTGATAACCGCTTATCGCGGCGCGCATCTTAGGCCTACAGAATGGTCTAGTGCCCACCCCAGAATTGCCCAGAAAGTTTAATACAAAATAATAATACTTTATGATACTAATCGCTATCTAGGACGAGGCCCTGGGCTGAAGCCCAAAAAGTGCAATGGTAGAATAGTGGCCGCCCGCGACTTCGTACCCGTGAATCCCGTTTTACCCCCTTAGGGGTGGAGTTTCGTGAAATCTGCACCATGAGCACCTACGTTCTAAAAGGAACCCCCATGCAAAATTTGAGACTCCTGGCACTTGTAGTTTCTGAGATTTTGTGATGAGTGAGTCAGTCAATCAGTGACCTTTCACTTTAATAGATTGAACCCAAAACCTTCTAGTCGAGAGCCTCACTCTCTTTCTTATCACTGGACCACAAAGCCGTTGCTTTTGAACTAAGAGTTGACGCACACCGTTGATTTTTCGTCGGCCGATAGTTTAGTCGGGCAGTTGATCAGTATGGGCATGTATAGGAGTGCGCACACTACGCCGATTCGATTTGGCCGATTCTTCATACAAATTAAAATCGGCCAACTAAAAATCAACGGTGTGCGCCTACTCTTATTCGAATAATTTAACATTAATTTTGACGCTTTTTGCCTAATTGATATTTGAGGACAAGGTAAAGGGCCGATGATCGAATATCACAACAACCTGTTGATGTCGTAATAACGAAGTTCGTAGCCTTGAACGGAAAGGGCAATGGATGGATTCTATGGCATTAATCGATTTAAAATCCGGCCAGAAACGAGTCAGATGCGCATCCAACACAAAGTATTTCCTTCGTTCATACAGCCGAAAGACGTCCACTGCTGGACAAAAGCCTCCCCCAAGGTTTTCCCTGCGTGATCAAATCAGAAATGAGAAGATCCGCAGGAGAACCAAAGTGACTGACATAGCCCACAGAATAGCTAAAATCAAATGGCAGTGGGCGGGGCACGATAGTATTTATTAAGCTAAAAATTCTCCCATTTTTGGAATGTAAATAGAATACGAATTTTGGCTTCCATTCGAAATTTCCTACAAATACTCTTTCTGTTACTGATGATACAGATTTGCCAATTTAAAATTTGTACCTCTAGAGCGGTTTCTCACTACGATTTCTTCCGATTTCCGTCATTCAATTTCTCTAGAACTGGTTTTCTAGATCCGTATTTTGTTGGATTTGTATTTTTTTTATCCACGACGAGGAAGCTCTTGGCCTGTGTCTCACCTGATGGTAAGTGACGATCAGGCCGAAGGTGGAAGCGAGCTTCACTCGGAATCCTCAACCACGGAGAAGGAACTTTTTTGGTCTTGATAAGTAACAACAACTGGTACAGAAGCAGTTAGTTGAGATCCCAGTGGAAGTGACAATAGTCCAATCACCAATGGTGTCGGAATCGGACTGGCCAAATCAAGATCCAAAGAACGCGGATTCGAACCCGGATTACTGAACTATTGTCGTGAACCCACTCGTAACTTACGGGACTATTCCCACCTCTGCAACTCCTGTGTAGCCAGGATCTACAGCTTGACTGCCACAAAAACCCAACCAGTGAAGGTCAAGTTTGTCCCGGGGGAAAGTTAAACTGTCATTGGACCCGCAACGAAATTAATTAGAAGAATATAGGAGGAGTTCGAAATTAAGGTTCGACTTCCCTCCATTGCAAAGCGGATGACAGGTGACAAACAAAGGTTTAAAACCTTTAATAAAAGACGCGTAACTTAAGCATATTTTAGCTTATTACGCTAGATTTTCGGGACTATTCTTTTAAAAAGTTTTTTTGTCGAAGGACATCCTAACAAGCAGTCCCGATTAAAACTGAGCAGGCGCCTTTTTAGCACTTTTTTCTTTTATTTTATTCTTTTTAATTTTTATGTTTTCTGTGTGTCTTGCCAGTATTCACAAACATTACTATGAGGTCTCACAGTGCACGTGGATGCACAGGGTGACACACGGACCAATCACAGAGCTCTATTCAATGCTGTGCGTTCGATTGGCTGCTTCATTTAAGCAAGCATCGTTTGTGAATACGGGCGTCTATCTAATAAAGTAATTGTACTATTTTTATTATTTCGCACCATGGTCTTCGATTACCCACCTATAGTCCGATTTTTAATTCGACGGAATTCTGACAGCTGTCATTTTTTGACAATTCAGATGTAATAAGCCTTTTTTGCTTTGAATTATTAATAAATAATATGAAATGAAATTTCATCAAGTACAACTTACAAGAATGAACTATTGTTTGTTGTGTCAATTCAATGTACACTAATTATTATGTACATTTTAGAGTTTAAATAGAAAAAAACGTGTTTTTAACACAGTAAAACAACATATTATCATTTACGAAAATATGTATTGATCATCAATCATCATTATCGTCGTCATAATCAACTTGGATTATAAAATTGGCATCTTGTTAAATTGGTTATTTTATGAACCTAAGATTTTATTAACAAAAGGATTTTCATAAAAAAGGTTTGTAACCCATGGATTATTGGCCAGGGAGTCCAGTAATAGAAAAATAATTTCCCAATTTTTTTTGTAACTTCAAAAATATGATAATAAAAATTCAAATAACCATTTTGAAATGATCAGTACATTTTTAAGCCTTAGTTTTTAAAGTGAAACCTTAAATTCAAGAAAGGATTATTTTTTAATTTGTGAAAATGCTCTCCATTCATAATGGGAATGTTTCAATGTTGACAACACTTCTGAAATGTCAAAATTCCGTCGAATTAAAAATCAGAGTTTAGGTTCGTTTTGATCTACATTGCACTGCGAAACTGCACATCCA